TGTTGTTGTAGCCGCCTAGCAAGTTGATTGACTTCTTAATTAACAAGTTATAATTAACCCGTTGTAATGATCCTATAGTGGCCAGTTCATTGTTTTACCAATCAGATAGATTAAACATCAATCAGCTAAAGCCGATTAAGAACATTGTACTAAATCTTCTCTTTCAATGATTACTGAGAGGATACTTGATTAAAAAATAGTGAGACATCGAGTGAAAAGGGAGATTTCGAGCAGCAATGCACACGTCTAATGCATAAGAAAACGTCTCAACCAACTATGACAATCGAAACATATTTATTTTGTTTAATTACGTCATTATTCCATGCACACCACCTTTGTTGTCTGAGTTGACAAAACTGTTACTGGACTTGATTGCAAGTTTGTCAATTCGTGATGTTCCAGACTGACAATCGAGCATGCCCTTACAGATCTAACTTGCCACAAAAAGAGATAAAAAGCAATCAATAACAAACTCCTGAGTGGTAATAAACATGATCTGTACAGATTGACAGTGCATGAGATTTTGGATTTGGAATAGAAAAAGCTGCTGTTTAGAACATAAGACAGAACATCTTCTTCCTTGAAATCGTATATTATAATGGTAAAAAGAAGTTTATTTATTATTTCAGACCCCCAAAGAGTTTAGTACAAGTTTATCGACTGGTGTATGAATTACGTAGTAAGATATATGCCAGCAAGCAAAGATCAGGATCAGAATCTAAACACAGAGATAATGATTCCACAACACCGAAACCTTCCCCGAAGAAATGTGGTATGATCTGGGATGCTGCAGTTGATTCCACAGATACAATCCGTGATCTTGAAGAAGAGAGAGACAGTCGAGAAGAAAACGATTTAGAGGAATTAGTTTCAGATGGTTAGAGTTTTTTAATATTTGTAAAACAATCAAATTCTTCTAATGATCATAATAATAACTTTATTACAATTCACAGAGCCCTTTTCAAAACATGATAAACATCTTGTCAAATGTAGGGGGAAAACAGGCAGTGAAAATTTAAAAAAAAGTCGAATGATAAAATTTAATAATAATTTTAGTTATTTGAAAACAAAATTTCTTCTTCCATTACAAGTAAATTGAATGTATGAAATATAAAAATGGTTTGATATAATATTTGCATTTATTAAAGGTGAGGATGAAGATATGAATCAGAACAGTAGAAGACGCCCACCACCACCATTAATGTCATATGAAGAACAATGTAAATCTACCATTAAAAGATGTATATTTTTACTAGTTGGTATTAAATCACCACTTGCTGGTAAGTGCTGACTTATGTGTTTTCAAACAAAATTCTATCATTGCTTTAGGACCAATTATCTGCCAGCTTTTTTTCTCTAAATCTTGCATAATGTATCTTTAAATCTTTTGAGCACAGTATAAAGAATAGTGTAAGATTTAGATAAAAAGCAGCTGTTCTTGATATAATTGTTTGAAAATAGATAATGAAATTAAAATGACTTTATTCTGGGCAAAGTTATTACTGTTTGAAGATGTAGTGCAGTTCATTTATTATCAGAGCAATGGTACTTGACAACCAAGAGTAAACCTTGATTAACCATTTTATTGTTAAATTATTAAATCTCACGAATGTTCAAATTGATTTTAGGCTTTTCATGTGAATTAATGTCTAAATGATAATTTGTATATGATTTAAAGCCAGAAAATAGACCTGCAATAGGCAGATTTAGCTGTTACATAATGCATCTTTAACTTTGCTACACATATTTGAACTATATATATTATTTATTTGAAACAGCTGTACCTGAAGATGTACCTTTATCACCTGGTAAAAGCCAATCAACAAGTGTACAGGAAAATAATACAGGTGAGTTGATATTTTATATATTCATACAAATTTGTGGGTTTGTTATAGAAATAATAAACACAACTAATAGTTTGTCGAATGACAGTTGTAATGTCATCCCAGTGCTTAATTACAATATATTTCAATTTTGTTAGTAAAATCAGAGAATTTTCTGAATTAAACTACCATTTAGTATAGAGTGTAAATGACTAATGACTATAGTTACAATCAGTTAATCATTTGTATGAAGTCTAGTTTTAACTGTAGTATTTTGGTGTTTAGATGCAGGAGAAAGTCGACCAAGTAGACGGGGTAGTTTACCAGATATAACCCAGTCTTTACAACAGGTATGTGTCATATTCATATTAGAATTACACCCTGTTAGTTTCTTGTACAATATTATATTATTAGATTTTGAAAACGAGATGATGATTGATTGATTGAGTAGGGGCTAGGGGATCGAGTGTTCGACATTTGTGTCTTGATTAACCTCCCACTAGCAAAAACCTGTGCAAACACGTGAATTATTGAAATACAGATGAATAATGTACTCAACCTACAATGACCTGGTTTGTGTTGAGTGGATGTTAAACCTCATTTCTCTCTCTCTTTTTTGACTTCCAATCAAAAAGCTTTTTGTATTTAATGGCGATCGTCCAGATGAACAATCCTGCCATGTTTTAGAAGTTTGCTTTACATTGCATTCACAAGTCTCATCAAGCCTTAAAGATGCCTCAGTCAGGAGCAAGTAATTTTGCTGAAATTTTCAGTAGAAGCTTATTCATTTTTCATTGCCTATTTTATTAATAGAAAAATGGGCACCTCTTTATCTAAATCCTACATAATATATCTTTTAAAATCTTTTGTCAAAAACTCTGTTTTTTGTTGTAGAGTGGTCAGAGTAGATCTATAAGAGAAAGAGAAGGTGCAGCAACTCCTACTACAACAGATAACTCTCAATCAGGTAGGTTGATTATTTCACTCTTCCCAGAATTAACATCTATATTTAAATGGCTATGGAAAGTGTCTTGTTTTGTGAACAGTTTGATATGAGGTTTGATAGGTAGAGATTCAAATGATCCTATATCTGTTGGTTCAATTTGTGCTCAGCACATTTTTTGAGCTTATTTTTGTAACATAATTAAATTATATATTCATTAGTGGAATGTATTATAATTATAATCCTGGTTGTGAAGGATGTATTTCATTGCTAGGATCGCAAAACCTCATTTCAACTTCAAAAAATTGAACCACATAATTGAGTTGCATTGTCTGTGCAAATATTAAACTCATCAATCAAACAGATTTTTCAATGATTAAAAAAATTAAAGGCTTATGAACTGGACTGTAAGTATCAAATCTAAGCGGTTACAATAGCACAAACCAGATGTTTTTGTCGATTCTGGATGCTTTTATGACTTGTTACACAGTAATTTATTGACTGAACAATCTAGATGATAAGAAGAGATCTTCACGCTTTCCCTTCAATTCTAGATGGTAACCATATACCTCCTAGTGATATCATTTATATATCTAATATATCTTTTAGAAACTTTTTCCAGAAGTGCATGTTTTTCATCTCTTGTTTTTCCAGCTATTATAGGATCTCTTCAAAAAGTGAAAGAATCTTTACGAAGATTGCGGTGGCGACGAGATCGTATCGAAGATATAAATGTCATGAGAGGGGACGCTTACAGTACCCCACAAAATTTCACCCAGCTTCAGTTAGAGATTGGAAAGTTTGTTTGTAGTGACCATCCTAGTTCTAGTGTAGAATATAGTGAGGGTGTTTGTACAGTTCAGGAGATTAGCCAGTGTCTTGATATTCAACAAAACAGAGCTGAGGTACAGCAACCCTATTGATTTTCAGCATTTCATGACTTTTTGTTACAGCTTCAGTTGAGACAAAGCTGCTGTATGGGCATATTCCACACTTTGCTTGGCTATCTTTACACAAAATAGTCCATTCGTAAGTGTACAGCTTTGTATAGAGCTTATTAACTTAGGACTGACTCAGTTGACTGATCAGATAAGAACCTACATGTACAATTTGATAAATTTGTTGTTTTTAGTATGAGTCCTGTCAATTTTCGTCATTGCCCATCTCTAGTAAAATGTGCGTTTATTTTGCATGGCAACACATGTTTTCACTGTTTTCGTTTTTATTTTAAAATACACAAAGAACAATCTTATTTATTTCTGGTTGTAGAAATTACAGTATGTGAATGTTGTTTATTTTTTTAGCGCCGTCTGTATGCATTAAACCAGATAGTAGAGTTATTATCTACGGGGAAAGATGTTGGTGATAAAGATGGTGAAATGACAAACAGTTCTACAACAACAACGTTACTTAACACTTGTCATCTTCAACTTCTAGCGGGATGTTTTGGTTTTATAGGATTACCTGTTGAATATCTTAATACTAGCACACAACTTTATCATTATCAGGTATAAATAGTATATTTAATACTAGCACATACCTTTATCACTATCAGATAGTACATTCAATACTAGCACACACCTTTATCACTATCAGGTATAAATAGTATATTTAACGCTGATACAAAACTGTGCTGCAGTGGCATTTAATCTAATTAGTTTTAGGAATATGTTTTTTTGGAAGACATTTGTTTTATTTTGTAGGATGGTATAAGAACTGCGAGTTCCCAGACACAACAAGAAGTTCAACTGGCTGTACATCGTATTTATGAATTACTAGTCAAATCTTTATGTGATATTTACAACTCATATCTTCTTTCTGCTGGTAAATAGCCCCTTTATTAGTGGTATTAAATTTGGTTTTCACACATTTTTCTTAAGATTAAAATTATTTAATGATGGAATAGCTACTATCATAGTTTGATTTCTTGGCACTCTTAGCTATATATCATGACCATGTTAGTCTCAAATATAGGTTGTCAAATATAAAGGTAGAAAACATTGTTGAATATGAAATGATCATGTGCTGATATTCTGCGAAGAGTAATCATTCCCTACTTGAATGATACATTATATCTACTTGCAGCCATGAAGTAATAATAATGTCTTTATGATTGAGGATACATGACTTTGCTGTCAATTAAGGATTCCCCAAGTGTTTAATAAATATCTGGTCAATTTTTTTTTTTTTAATTTTTCACAAACCACTGAAGAATTAAATTGATTTTATTTTTTTTGTAGATATGAAGAAGCATTTGTTATTATCAACTGTTTTAGCTTTGAGTGTCAAATATAAACCAGTAGATGTATCGCTAGCTGTTTCATGTGGTTTAATTCCACTCCTTTATTCACTATCAGAATCTGCCAATAATCTTCCTAATACCCTATCACCTATCCAAGGCTGTCTATCGACCAATCATCTTACAGCAATATTACAGGTGTCTAGTTTACGTCTGTTGCAGATAATTGCCGTAACAACAGGGTGAGAAATATATTTTAATAATTCTTTTAAATATTAGATAATAACAATAGTACATGACCGCTTTGATTTGTATAAAATAAAAGTTTTGATTAAATCTGATGGATATTTTTCAATGCACAGTATTTAATGTCTGTAGATTAAGCGAGTGTTGAGATATATAATCAGTTTTGCTTATATCTGTAGATAGTTTAAGTAAGAGAATGAAATCAGAATTAGAGAACAAATTGCCTTCAGTTACAAACTGTCTTCGTTTTTTTGTGGTTTTATCAGTTTCATTTCATTTCCATAGTTATTTTTTCAATCTGTGCATTATTTTACAGAACATATGCTGATAAACTGAGTACCAGTGTAACACAAGTAATATTAGAGTTACTATGGAAACAACTACAGAATATATTACAGACAGCCAATCCGGATCTGGTTTTTAATTCTGTTTGTTCCAATATAACAGGTAACATGATTGGATACAATCTCTATGACTTCAACAAATTAGACACCATATTTAGGAATAAAACCTCTTTTCATAAAGCCCATTTACTGCAGAAATTGACACTGGAATATAGCGGTACTTGTTCTTATGAAATAATAGTGATAATATCACTGGTGACAAGAATTAAAACCAAATCCATTTATTACAGTAAATATAAGATGGAGAATTTGTACTTTAAAATTAAAGAATACACATATTTTTAGTGGTATTTTATTTTTCAGAGAAAACTATTCTTGATCAAAGAGATTTAATATCAGCTCAAACTGGTGTTGGTGATTTTCTGGTGTTTTTGCGTCGTGTTGCAGCATCTAGTACAATACAACAACAGATGTGTACATCACGCTGGGTTGAAACATTATTAAACATAGCTAGTGGTACTGATGATGATGGTAAGATAAAACTTTATCTCTGTAATCAATCAGATTTTATTTTTTAGGATTTCATGGGAAGAAATTTCCAACAATTTGCATCTAAGGTCACACCAATTTGAATTACTTTTCTTCAGGGCCTGGGGGATGGCCGAATGGTTAGCATGTGCGCTTTTATCATAAGGTCTGTCATTGAGTCAACTGGTATGGTTACCATTCCCCGTTTGTATGTGACAAGCAGTAGGGTTGCCTGTCCAACCTTGTGGGTTTTCTCCAAGTCCTCTGGTTTCCTCCCACGGCCAAAGACTTTTACACGCAAGTGAATTATTGAAATGAAATTGAACCATATGTTAGTCCCAAAATCACCTAGTTTGTGTTGAGTGGACGTTTAATTCCAATTTGGCTTGTGCATGTTGAAAGGCAAGATGTCTTGTTTATGAAACTAGCTGACTTAAAATATTGTCTATGTTTATATTCAGGTGTACCGTATGTGAACAATTTGAGAACACGACTTTTAGCTCTTATGTTACTGGATAATCTTTTGCCTTCCTGTGTTGATGAAGGGTTAGCTGAGTTTAGAAATGAGGTAAAAACACTTTATGAACATTATTTTAATTACCTTTTTTTGACTTCGTACAAAATGGTACAAATGGCCTGGTTACCCATAAAACAATTTCCTAGCATCAGATTTTTTGCTGACACTTTCTAATACTGTGACAAACCAATTGTAATTATTGAAAGTAAGATAGTAAAACTATCCTACTGATAAGTCATAGACTAATATTAATCATGCATTTCAATATTTCACTAAAATTTCAATAAACTTCTTTTTTGTCATTTTTAGGTAACAGAAAAATTGTTTGAAAGTTTATATATCAACATGTGGAAGGTTCCAGTTGCCATAGCAGACATGGATGCCAAAAAGAAAAAAGAGGATCTCTTGCAAAAATTAGAAGTTTTGTCAGCATCTTCAAGAGAAACAACGCCTACACCAGAAGCTTCCACAGATTCTATAAATATGCAGGGTGCAGCATTTGATTTAGAGAAATCTAATTCCTGTACGATTGAATCTGATCACACATTGGTTCACGGAGCTGGTGGTCGTGGGTACGGATTAGGTACCACTGCCATTAAAACTGGATGTTATCAGTGGAAGGTATACTATGACTATATGTTAAAGAGGTCCAATCACTTTTCACTTCTCTGAATACTGTGTCATTCTATAATTGATTGTCTGTTATTCTGCTTTGACTTGAGTTTGCATAGAAAATCATGTGTTTTTTATGTCCAGCAGACAGTAACTCAAACTTTGTAATTCACAATTATGTGCATTGTAAATTACTTAATATTATTGCATTATCACTTCAGTCTCATACAATTATTATAGCTTCATTATTTTTAACCATATTTTGAAAAACAACAATTGTCTGAAAAATTGAATACAGTAGGTAATAACTAGGAAATAATTGTTATTTCTTTTTATATGCTTATAGTTTTTGATTGTAAAAGAGAATAGGGGAAATGAAGGAACATGTGTTGGAGTATCAAAATGGCCTCTAAGGGATCATGGACATCGTACAACTAGTGATATGTGGTTATATAGAGCCTATAGCGGTAATCTGTATCATAATGGAGAACAGTCACTGATATTATCATCATATACACAAGGCGATTATATTACTGTTTTACTTGACATGGATTCCAGAACACTTGCATTCGCTAAAAACGGAGAGGTAAGACGAGTCGCTTACAGAACAAATGATTGTTAAAGTTGAATCTCTAAAATGAATATCAATCCAAAAATGGTTCAATTGCATTCAGAACCGGGAGATTATCTACTAGTGATATTAAGTGCTAAATAATCCAGTAGTGTACATTTGAGCATGGCTTATGGTATGAACAATTATATATTGTCAATGAGTTATTGATTTCTAACTGCACTTCAGTACTTTTTGAAGCGGATATTTCAAAGTTTAAAACTATCTCACATAGAGGCTGTATATATAAAAGATTCTGTAATCAATAGTGATGATGTCACAGTGTAGGAATGTATTTTTGTAATGAATATTTTGCAGTATGTTTTATAGAAGAAAGTTTTTGAGTTATAGTAATTGCTAATTCAGATATTTAATACTTTCATTAATTAATAATGTCTTATTAATAATTTCAGGAACCACGAGTAGCATTTGAAGATGTAGACGCAACAGAATTATACCCTTGTGTTACATTTTACAGTAGTAACCCAGGAGAAAAGGTTGGTATATTTTTAATCATTCAAATAACACAGATTCTTTGAAGACCTGGTCAATGGCAATGCAAGAGCCCTGAGACATTTTCAGATAGCAGTACTTCTGTCTACTCTTCATTGAATTTCAATGCACACCAATATGTGTACATCAGTGGTTCTCAATCTTTTGTTGATTGTGATACCATTCCAGAAACCAACGGGGGTTGGATGGCTGAATGATTAGCGTGTGCGCGCTGTATCACAAGATCTGTCATTGAGTCAACTGGCATGGTTTCAATTGCCCGGTTGTATGTAACCATGTGTTGGTCTTGTAATGACCTAGTTTGTATTGAGTGGAGTTAAGCCCCATCTCTCTCTCTCTCTCTCTCTCTCTCTCTAGAAACCAGCATATGATCATGACCCCTCTAAGAACAAACTCACTTTTACTATGAAATATCATCAGTATTTACATTTCTTTTTGTTTTACTTATTTGACAACTTATTGTTTACATTTTTACAACTTTATAAAGATTGATGAAAGATGATTGGCAATGAGGCAAGAGGTGTACAGATCAGAGATTTATATGCTTTTCATGAAAACATAGCATTTTTCTCAAAAGTATCAGAGCCGTCTGCCAGTGGGGTCGCGACCCTGAGGTTCTGAAACCATGGTGTACATGGATGGACCTTTTTTTATTTGTCCCCAGCGAATGCTAATACATCAATTTACTGTCAGTCCAGCAGACGCTACATTTGACATATGGGAATGTGATTCTTCTGGACCCATGGATGATTTAGAACCTGGGTCATCTGGTCCAAAGCCAAGTTTGGCCCCTTGTCATAGCTGAAGTAGGATAAATACCAATTGCCCTTTGTGAATTCATTTTCATTTATATTGAATGTCAGTAGTAATATATACTTATTTATATTTTAGGTGAAAATAACTGATATGCAGTTACGAGATAACCCCAGAGATTTGTTACCAGGTGATCCACACTGTGCCAATGCTGTGTCTGTGATAGTTGAATCAAACATTTCACTGATAAAAAATCTGTTTAGTAGACCTGCCTGGTCTAATCAAATCAAAACTAAGATGTGTTCAATGTTGGACAAGATTGACCAGTGGCAAGATGAAGAGAAATCTGCATGTCTGGATGATAGTCACACAGAATATCAAGCAGGTAATTTGATTAAACATTTTAGTTCTATTTTCAGTTTAACGTGATTCACTATACATGTTGTTTTGATTGCATTATATAATGCAATTTTGAGTCCATTCTGTTCCAATACATTTCCTGTTGGGAAATAAGTGATTAAGAAATATGATGTAGTCATTGCAGTACTTGTTTTTAGAGTACATAGTTTGAGTTTGTGAAGGATACAGTATGTTTAACATAATATTCAAAAGTTAAAATCTTAAAACAAAGTTTTGGCAATGTACGAGGAATCTGTTTTAAATTATTTAGATGATGTGATGAGAGGTGGGAGTGAGAAGTCTAGTAGTCAACTACCATCTACTAGCCAATCAAATGATGACAATAAGCCACATGATGTTCATACCTCAACCAATACAACAACAGGATGTAAATTTAAAATAGAAGATAAGAAACTTGATTGGCTGTGTAAACAGGTATAGTTATATTGTATCTAAGATTATAGAGAAATATCTGTTGTTTTTAATAATTTTGTTCTATACAAAATTCTATAGTTTAACGATTCCCACTTGCTACATGACAATATTGACTATTCTAGTTCCTTGAAGGAAATTAGAGAAAAGTGATATATTGATACAAACTGCCCAAGATATGTGAATAGCTTTTCAGATCGAACCATTTTGCGTGCACCATAACTGTCCACATGACGGCGCGGTTTGTGGCAGTCTAAGGATCCCTAGTTAGGGTGGTTTGGGGCAGTCTAAGGATCCCTAGTTAGGGTGGTTTGGGACAGTCTAAGGATCCCAAGTTAGGGTGGATTGGGGCAGTCTAAGGAGCCCTAGTTAGGGCTATGATATTAAATTGTTTAATTATTATTTTTAGGTTTGGCCATGTTTATCTGTGATATCAGGGGTAGATCCTGGATTAAGAATTGGAGGACGATGTATTCATAAAACAACTGCTAAACAAGGGATTGTGATGGGATTATCAAGGGAGGGAACTACCACAGTTAAAGTACAATGGGATGATGCTGAAACTACGATAAGGTAAGTAATTGATTTTCAAAATTGTGAGGCCAGATGAATTAGAAAAAAGATACAAGGACATTAATACATCTGTTCTTTTATGCAATTTTGTACTAATAAATTTCTCTTTGTGTTCTAGTGATACTCCTGTGTGTAATATTGAACCTTTGGAATCTCCTGATTTTGAGATTGATCAGTTATCAGGATTCACATCAGCACATCTTGACGCTCTAGTAAAACTGGCAAGTATGGTGGAGGAGAAAGGTGTACACGAAGTACCACACCAACCAGCACAAAAAGTTACGGCAAAATGTCGGGAAACTGTGGAAAAGGTGACATTTAATCTGATGATGGAGCTAGAGAGAGATATTGCAAGGATTCTATCCACAGATTTCGGAGGTCCTGAAACTGACCATAATGCTGATAAGAAACATCAGGGTGAATCAGTTGACCCTATTGACAGCGAAGATGAAGAACACAGAGAATTGGAGGAAGAATTAAATCTGGATTTAGATCATGATTCAACTGAGCGACCATTGACAAGCTTTGAAACTTTTATTCCACCGGAAGAAGTTTTAGATGCACATTTAAAAAGAGAATTAATGGATCCAGAGGATACACCTAAATCTCAATCAGTAACAGATACAAATCAGGCTGTTGGTGGAACAGACAGCAAAACTGACCAATCAGTTTCATCATCACAAGATGTATCAGTAGAACTACCAAACATTGATCAGCATCCTGTAGAATCTGTGTCACCCAGATCTATAAGATATCAAAAGCAATCAAAAGAGAATCATTATCTAAAACAATCAGTCATTCAATTAGCAGCCATGAAATCCCTTCTTGTTGTTATCAGTTGTAATAAGTTTACAGAAATGTTATTGGTTCCCAAGACTAGCCAAACAGATGAAGATGCTAATAAGACATTATTAGATGGAATGATGGGAGATAGAGACGAGCAAATGAAGAAATCTCTACAAAACATGATGAAGCAAATGGTAAAGAGAGCATTGATGCCATCACCATTCCGACGTATTGTTTGCTTAACAGAGTTACATCGTACCTTAAATGTTTTACAAAAATCTATGTTAAGTTTACAGTCAGAATCCAGTCTTGATATTGCTGAACTAGAAGGTTAGTTTTTAACATTTTTATTTTATATCCCCCAAATTATTAAGATGTGAAAATATTTACTTGATTTTTAGTTCAATAATAATTTATGATAATAATAATAATATATTTATAGAGCACCTGAAATCCAGCACAATTTACTGTCCATCGGGAGCATTATATGTTTCATAAAAAAATCAGACTCATATATACTGTGCATACAATGGACATAAGAAAACAACAATAAAAGACACATACAAAATTTTAGTAACTTCAAGAATGGTTGTTCAAATTTTGGGGCAAATGTTTGATTTGACTTCATTATTGATGTTAGAACAATGTGAAAGGGGATAGAATCTGCTGTGATTTTCAAGAAGAACAGTCTGAGATAGTGTTCACTTATTATTATTCAATGTTTTATTATTTAGAAGAACTTGAGGAAGCCATGACGAGAAAGGGTGTTGTACAAGGACCTCCGAGTGTAACCAAACCCCGACCGTGGTCAGCTAAACCTGAAACACAAGATTCTGGTGCTACTGCTGCATCAAGTCAGGGAATTGCCAACTCCTCCAATCAACAGACGTCCATCTTGAAATTCATGCGTCCTAGCACAAGGTAAGCCATAGGCCTAAATCATGTTGGATTTTGCACTGGTTCAAATCAAAATAGTTTCGTGTTTTACTGTATTTTGATTAAATTATTATTATTTTTGCAGTGCTGAAGATGTTGGTGGAATGACTCGTAGAATATTTAGTTCTGTTCATGCGAAGAATTTGATAACTTTATCAAACAGTATCAGACGTCCATTAAGATCTCGTTCTCCATCCCCTCCTCCTCCCCCTATTATCCCTCCACTGCTTGAGATGGGCTTTAACCTGAACCAGTGTAAACAGGCTCTTATTGCTACAGGTGAGATTTATAGTTGGTTTTTTTGTTGATTTTTTTTTAGTGTTATATATATTTCTGGCTTGTTGACATTAGTGCTAAAAATAAAACGAATAATGTTTAACATTTTGACAACGCTTTAGATAAGTTTGGGACTAACAAGTAAATTGTTTCACTAATAAAATAAAAATAACCTTGTTAATCTCAGATTGACAATATTGAATGAGAGTGTCAAAGAGTTTTTCAATTGATTTTGTTATTTAACCTTTAGGTATAAGTGGACGTGAAATAACTGTACGTTCTATAAATACACTAGCAACCTGGATGATAGAGCATCCTCTAACTGTACCTGCAGACTCAGCCTCCCAGTCCACTCCAATGAGTTTAATTGTTGAAGATATAGAGAATAATACTTCCAGGTATGTGTCTAGCTGAAGTAATATTATTTTTCAATTAGAGAAGTAGCCAATGAGTAATTATGTAAACACATTACCAGTAACTCTACATATGCAATTTAACACAGAAAAATCAATATCAGAACCCAATAGAATAAGTCATCTAAATGATTGCTCGATCCTTTTTAGTTCTATGGAAAATGGTAGCATTTTTCCTCTTCAGTTATTTTAAAAAATATATTATTAATATACATGTGTTTTTAAGTGAAACAAGATTAGGATCTCCAACAGAAGCTTTCTCTTTTAATGATGATACTTCTGATGATGCTGATGAATATGATGAAAGATTGCGACCAAGGTTGCCTCGAAGACCAAGAAGACTTTCCAGAGGTCGACATGTTGACATTAGAAGTTTTTTCTCAGGTATATATACATATTGAATGTATTTAGGGCTTTATGGTATAATGTGTGACATGAAATGTAAAAAGCCACTTTCAATTGATTTATGTTTAAATTACATATCTGAAAATTATATTTGGTTTTAAAGGACGGGATCGTCGAGAAGAGCGACCCGAAAGGCGTCATGAAGTAGGTGAAGCACGACCTTTATTTGACCCCTATGATGATTTTGATCTTCAAGAAGAGTTATATAGTGAGGAGGGATTAGAGGATATGTTTACATTTACTCCATCAACAGAAAGACCACAACCATTCTCAATACTGGTAGGTATCCATTTTGAATTGAATGGACTGTAGTTTTGGATAAATTTTCTTTTTACAATGCAATATTTAAGATTGAACAGTGGTATTTTTGCTTGAAATTTAGGCCAATGTCAAGCAGGGTATAATTAGAGACTGTAGTTTTAATATAATAAATTTTATTTCAAAAGAACGGGAGATGAAATGTGAAAGGACCGAATGGTGAATGGTAATTGAGACATTGTTTTGATTACATACAGAATATGAATTACTCAAATGATCAAATAATTAACAATTGATTATTTATGGTAATGGTTGTTGTGCTTGGTGGACATTAGCCATTAGTCAATGTGAATAATTGTTATTATTCTGTAGTATTCATTGTTTGTACCTTGATTATGGTTTTTGAACTTTCTTTTCAGCGCCGTGATTTACATGTGCCTGATCATATTAGATGTGAATTGTGTGGACATGAAACACTGAATTTTAATCGTCATATGAGGCGTCATCATCCTGGATGTGGAGGTAAGCAATTGATTATTATCAATGTTAATTGCACATAATTTTGTAACTCTGTAAAAGAATTATTTCTTCGACCATAATAAACATATACATGTCACAGTGCTTTTAGATTTCATGAAATGTAAAACTATGTTTATGTTTGTGAATATTTGTATATTTTAGGAAGTTGTGGAAGTCATGGTTACCGTAGTGATGGTCTCTATGATGATGGATGGTTTGGAGGTGTGTGTGGATCAGGTCATCCATTCTATCTACTGTGTAGTGAATGTCGAGAACGATATTTACATCAGATTAGAGAGAGTGTCAGTGATACAAGCTCAATTAGTACCAGCAAGAGTCTAAGTCATACTGGTTCGGTTGCTCCAGATTTACTTGGTAATTCTGATGGTATGTTGGACGGTAAGTACTTCAATGTTTTGTTATAAACTTTGTAGCTAACACATGGTTTTTATAGAGAAGTGTTGGAACATGTGTATCATATATCAGGGTAAAAGTAAAAGCAAATCTATTTCAAAGGACATTATAAATGTCAGAATATTACAATATCTTAATAGAAAGTTGTTGAATTATATGCTATTACTGTATTTCAGATGAGCTTTCACTGATAATGGATGATCCATCACGTAATGTCATGACAGAAAACTTTGATAAACTACTACCACGTCTGGGACTTACAGAGCGAAAGAATAATCCGGATCCAGTGAGGTTTATGGAAAATGATCCGCTTGGAGCCAGATTTTTACAGGATAAATCAGCTGAACTTATAACTGATTCTCTTGGTGGTAAGTTTAGGTTGTGGGTATGAAATAATTCTTCATATCACTTTAGGCCACTTAATTAAGGGAAAACGCTTAGCTGTGTTTAGTTCAAACTTTGCGTCTGTTGTAACTATAAGTCGTATTTGACATGCATAATGCATTCTAAGACAGAAGATAGTCATATTGTTTTAGTATTGTAATATAATAAATTAATGATTGTTTTTCAGGTAGTGTACCAAGAGTATCTAGATCTGAGAGTCGAGGGAAGAGTCTGGCTGAACAAGCCAATCATCTTACTACAGGACCTGATCGGATGTTAGCATTACGAAGAACAGCAGCAGGGATGCATGTCCTACTTGCCAGAACAGTTGTCATGAATGTCCTTAAATTATTAGCTCAAAGGTATGTATTAAAACGTTTATTATTGATGCTGATACGGTACTCACGATGATCGTAGGATCATTAGTTGGCTGTTGGTGGTGTGTCAGTTGACGATCCAATCTAAAAGGAATGTTTTGAATATATCAATATTTCAGTCAGTTTGGGTTATATGATTACTTTTATTTCTTTTTTTTAAATTAATTACATCGGTTTCACTTGTATGATTACAATTCTACAGGAATGGTCCTCTGTTGTTTAGCCTTATATGACGCCTGTCAAATGTGGTCGTAGTGAAAGTAACTTGTGGGTTATAGTTATGGAAAAAAAAAAAGAAGAGAATTTCTAATATGGAATATAGTACTTGGTCTGGGTAGTTTCTATTTTCCCAGCATTGCACATTTTATAATAATAAATTATTTTTGCTCTCCCATCATCCAACCTCAAGTTTCAGTGTTTGTTGTACTCAAAAAGATGTGTGTAATGATTATTTAATTAACAATCTCTTCTATTTCTTTCTAGTTATAGTTCATGTAATTTATCAGAAGCATTGAATGATATTGGTTTATCTGATATTATGTTAATTGTACAACTGATGTCACTGTGTGCAGCCGGTAAAATGAATATATCAAAGAAACCACAGGGGGAACAATCAGATCATCTTCATCACCTGACAATATCAATAGGCAGTCTTGTACAGGACAATTCACAAGCTTTACGTCAACTCATGAATTTCTGCACAGAGGTATGTAATTTTGACACAACTTACTGTTTTTCCCATTCTTTTTGTAAATATTTTATTTGGCACATTATTTGGGGGTTCTAAATTTGAAAAAATCAGGTGTTTAGATCTAATAAATTTTCCTCATTCTGTTCCAAATTTCAAGTTTTTTCAAACAGCCAATGTTGAAATATAACTATTACAAATTTGCACTGCTGACCATTTAATATGTGTAGCCTGATGCATATTGCATGCCTATTACCCCACTGTATTACTGCTAATAGACAATAAATTTGTGTATGTCTTAATTCAATTTTGTCTTTCCTAGGAGTTGATGTTAGCTGCAATGGGTCTGAATCCATCTGTACCTAGTTCTCACCGATCATCTCAAATACCAACACGAACCTCAACATTTGCTGTTACTCAAGCTCTTGTATCTCTGCTTGCTAAAAAGGGTTGGAGTCAAAAACTCATCCAATGTCAGCTAGCAGCTGAAAAAGGTGGGTGAATCTGATAAACCATCAGAATTTTTTAATTGTTGGATACCTCTTCTCGGGTAACAATGATCAATTGGTAATGCTGGTGGTATAAGAAAGCAAGAACCTGTTTACATATTATTGATGACAACAATTCTGTGCAGATAAGAATAGGTGGAAACACTAGGTTCCAGAAACAACTTTACATTCTCTTTGTACCAGTAAACACATACAAATATCGACTAGAATTGAAAAAAAAAGTCCCTATGGTTCAGATTTCTACTCCTTTGTTGACAATCCATGCAAATCACTTACATTTTACATTCCAGCTTCTCCAACTTCGACTGAAAATCCAGCTCCAGAAACTAGATTCTCTCCTTTGCAGTTGATTGATGCATTATCTGCATGTGTTATCTCGGCCAAGATGTCTGCTACACATCGATGTTGGTCCGCACAGCAACTAGTCCAAGCTTTATCAGCTCAAGGTCAACGTGTACAAACTTCTGTAGAAACTCAAGTTGATTTAAGTGGAGATTTACCTGTTTGTATCACAACACATTTAGAAGCTCATCAAAATCGTTTGTCTAATTGTATCTGGAATGCCAAAAAAAATCTTTTAGCCTCATGGTAAGTATTGTAATGAAATGCTTCCCACTAAATTAAACCCCATGTATAAAATCAGAACTTCATTGTTTACCCATTAATAGATTTTAAGTTCTTGTGCCTTGGGTTTAATTGTTTATATGGAAATGGGTCTCTTTATCTAGCAGATCTTTTATCACCATATTTTTTTGGATGTGTACTCCATTCTAAACAAGGGGGTTGGATGGCCGAATGGTTAGCACGTGTGCGCTGTATCATATGGTCTGTCATTGAGTCAACTGGCGGGGTTTCGATTCCTCGGTTGTACGTGACAAGGAGTAGGGTCGCCTGTCCAACCTCGTGGGTTTTCTCCGGGTCCTCAGGTTTCCTCCCAGTGCTAAAGACCCCTACGCGCACACGAATTATTGAAATAAAATTAAACCATATGTTAGTCCAGAAATGACCTAGTTTGTGTCGAGTGGACGTTAAACCCCATTTCTCGCTCTCTCCCATTCAAAACAAGACCACCTTCTAGTTCCAATATATTAACTCAAATCATTTGTATACAAATTATCTGTTCACACTGAGTCAGTTCTTTAACTAAAGTATATAATAAAATGAAATTGGGTCCTACTGTTCTGCTCCGACTGGGCTAATGAAGATGGTCATACGCCATGCAGCAATTCTACGATCTATTCTTATATAGAATTCAAACTACCAATGTTTTTTTTACATGCATGCCAATTTGTACACTGGATCTTGGTTTTTCATCCCATCCATATGACTATACATTGTCTCTTGCCTGGCCCTTCGTCATGTACCACTGACAGTTATGGTACCTAAACTTTGTAGTGCCTTCATCATGCACACTAGCATGGAACTGTGCATTGTATAAATGTACGTATTATTATTATGCATGTGTTCACACTAAGAACACCCTAACATTGAAATTTCCCACAGTTAGAATTCACGGGACTCATAATTGATTATCTTTGTATTTTCAGTGGTTATGATGGTACTGTTAGGATATGGAATATACCAAATAAAACACATCAGTTTTTACAGCAGACATGTGTATTTAATCGTGGAGATGATCAGGAGACAGTTGATCTTGATAGCTGTCCTCTCGCTAATGTCTGCTGGAACAGTACAGGAAAATTATTGGCAGCCTCACTTGATAATATGATCAATATTTGGATTGTTGGAGGTTTGTATATTTATTACTTTAAAACTAGATTTCTTTGACTTAAAGGTTTGTCGTTTGGATACACTAGTGCCTCGATTTTAATATTTTAAAAAATATCTCCATTTTTTCAAACTTGGTTCACAGTTGTTAAGAGTATAAAGCCATCAGGGCTTAAAAGGATGAGTGTCCCTCAAGGCTGCCACAAAAATATCCTCAGGAGGTTATTTGTTGGTTCAAATGAGATATTCTTCCAGGAAATTCCTTCAATAGAGTTGGATTCATTCTAATTAGTCCATATTTTATTCTGTTCTTTATTTGCAGGTAGTAAAGGTCATCTGGATCTACAGCCGCAGTGGGTTACTGCCCTTGCATGGCCTCAGACTCGTGGATTATTTGAAGGAAGATCAGGTTTAACTGTAGATTGTATATTAGTTGGTTCAATTGATGGACGAATTTCTGTTATAGAAGTATATGATAGTTCCAGTTTTCACCGTAAAGAATTACAACATTGTTATCGTAGAGATGGTAAACTATATTATTTTTCATTTAGCAATTTGAGTTAACTTTAGTTTGATGCTAATTGGCTTAGTTCCTGAATAAATAAATTTGACTTGTTCTTGTGGCATCACAAGGCCGCACAAAAATATTATTCTTCTTTGTAGAAAATCTTTCAAAAAGGTCTTGCCCAGTTTCACAAAACATTCGCAGACTTAAGTTAAGAATTTACTCAACTTTCAATCACTGTTTATTAGAAATATCTTTAACCCAGAAACACAAAACTATGTAAATAGTTGTTTGGTTTTTTTTGATTCATATGATACATTAAAATAACAAAAGTTTTATAAAGGGCTATAAATTTTTTATTGTTTTGATGTATCAATAAGAAACTATGTGCAAATTTTTGTGTTTCTGGATCAAAGATATTTCTCTTAAACAGTGATTGAAAGTTCAGTAACTTCTTAATTTAAACATTGCATTATGCAAGAGCTAAATCTGATTATTGCAAGTCTATATTTAGGCTTCAGATGTCATAGAAATTATAAATTAGATCTTTATTTACACAACAAGCACAAAATCAACTCTGTAGACCCACGGATGGCTTGGATTCAGCTTGGATTTAAACGGGATTTCGTTGACTGATTTAATTTTAAATGGCGTCGTGAGCGGAGATTAACCGTTATCGACGCCATACTCCCGGATCGAGGCTTAATGATAGAGTGTACGAAGCGAGACCGCTGTTGAGCGATGCCTTAACAAATGACATCTAAACTACTTAAAGTGCAATAAACTAAACACAGATAATGACAATTCCTGGAGACCGTGTGATGACTAATACAGACGGACAGGCCTCTGTCTTAATAATATCAACAAAAATATTTTTATTTCCCCAATAGGCACGACGCCACTGGTGTATACCTATAGATTTATCATAATTGTATTATAATATTATGTCCTGTATTCAATTGATTTAATGCATGCCCAAAATACAAGTGAGATGAAAATTTACCCTCTCACTCATTTTGTCCAATTGTTATAAAAATCCAAAAAGGTAAAACACAAATTCGGATATGATGACAGCAGACAAAAGACAGCAGAGATTATGTAGGTGGAGTTAACGCCTGTCAATCAAACGATCGGCCATACTAAGAATCGGTGAAGATGGAATTCAATCCCATTCTCGTCAAAAATTACACTGGTGATAACTATGTTCAGAATAAAGTAATTTGACTGAAATTTTCAATATATTCTTCTTTCATCATCTATTTTTGAACTGTTATAGCAAGAATGGCTAACTCCTTATAAAAATCTCCTATAATGTATCTTTAAGTCTGAAAATGCTTGTGAAACCAAGACCCGATCTTGTAGGGAAGTATCGATTATTGAGCTTACTAGACACTTCTAAATTCAATAGATATGTTTAATAGTTAACCCTCATTAGCTTGGGGAATGTGAACACATGGTATTCAGTGAAAATGTTTTAAATTCTAAAGATAAAAATACAGCAGTATCTGACAACCTGTATAATGTTTTATGTTGCCTATAATCTTCTCCATGGGAATGTATGATTACACTTTCTAGTACTCTAGTAACATTCTATTTGAAATACCCATTATTAGCTTTACAATGAATGCTCATTATGAAGAAGTTGTCTTCATGTTACCTGTTTTTGTATATTTGAACAGTATCTGTGACTCAGATAGCATGGTATAATGAAGATAAAAGATTTATGGTGGGGTATAGTGATGGTACTATATCTGTTTGTAGTAAATCTGACTTTGAACAACCAGTTAACACAGAGGCTCACCAGGTAAATATATGTATATTATTTATACTATTCAAAAAAAGTAGGGGATATTTGATTTTGGGGGCATAATACTAAAATATGCAAATGACTACGAAAAAAGTCACTATAGAACCTAACAGAAGAAACATTTCCAGTTACATGTGACGCCCAAACGCACCAATAGCTACCGCATGGAATGCAGGTGATGCTTGGGATCATCATGGGGGTCCAACCCAAGATTTGCACGACTCTGACTTTGAATGTTACAGTCATTGTGGCATTGAATTCCAGGGTGGAAACATCAGTTTAATTGTTTTAGTGACCAGAAAACAAATTTTGATATGCGTCAGCTTACCCAAAATGAAAGGTTACGTGCCCTTGGCATGCTACAAATCGGCACAACACAGGCGGTTGTGGCGCGGACAATGAATGTTTCTCAGTCTGTCATAAGCAGGCTATGGTCCAGATACCGTGATACACAATCTGTACAGGACAGACCACGCTCAGGTCGACCAAGGGCGACAACTCAAGCCCAGGATCGATTTATCCGTACCTTGGCCTTGAGAAATCGTGTCATCACAGCAAATCAGATCAGCGCTCGTCTTCAAACAGACACTGGTGTGAGAGTGAGTGGCCAGACAATTCGGAATCGACTGCATAGGGGTCACCTTCGCGCCCGACGTCCTCGCGTGATCCCTTGTTTGAGAGATCATCACATTCAGGCAAGACGTCGTTGGTGTAGGGATCGTCAACACTGGGATAATCGACGCTGGAGCAATGTGATGTTTTCAGATGAGTCAAGGTTCACTGTTGATTTTTTGGACAGACGTAGGAGGGTGTGGCGTCGTCGAAACGAGCGCTTCCAAGACGTTAACGTCATCAGACATGATCGATTTGGGGGTGGTTCTGTTATGGTGTGGGGAGGCATCACTGTTGCTGGAAGAACGGCTTTACATGTTGTTGCAGGGCGTGTTACAGGCCAGTACTACCGGGACAACATCTTGGCAGTCCATGTTGTGCCGTTCGCACGACGTCATGGCCACCGTTTCATCTTCCAGGATGACAACGCAAGATGTCACAGGGCCAGGATCGTTACAGGTTACCTCCAACAACAGAACATCACCACATTACCTTGGCCAGCACTGAGTCCCGACCTCTCCCCCATCGAGCATGTCTGGGACATGCTTGGACAGAGGTTACGTCAACGTCAACAACGTCCTGCCAATGTCCAAGAACTTGCTGCTGCGTTGCAACAGGAATGGGACAATCTGGACCAAAATGACCTTAGACGTCTCATTAGGAGTATGCCACGTCGGATCAATGCTTGTTTGGCAAACAGAGGAGGATTTACCCGTTACTGACTTGGTTGTGATGCTGTGGTAACTTTGCTGTTTGACCCCGGGTATCATTTTACCCTTATAATGGTCAGTCTGTGCCTTACTTAGTCTAACGATCATTTGGAATAAATCGATGAATGTGAACTTCATTTCATTTTGTCATTTGTTTCTTCGTCAGTTTCATTAGGTGACTTTAATAACACTTAAAAATCAAATATCCCCTACTTTTTTTGAATAGTATATATGAAAAAAAAAAATGTTATCTGAAAAGGATCTTCAGAGGAAATTGAATTTTGTGCCAATAAGATCGAGAACAAATTGGTGAATTGAATTTGATGACAAATTGTTAGATCTTAAACTTTCATTACATTTCGAAGAGTTATCATCACTTTTTTCAACTTTGAGATTAGCACTAATGACATTGCTGCTGTTGAACTAAAGAATCTGTGTCTTATATATATAATGTATCCTGTTTTATTTTTATTTTTCAGAATTCTATAGGAATGTTAATCTGGGATCCTACTGGTCATCTGCTTGTTTCTATGGCATCTAATGATGTAACAGTCAAAGTGTGGTCTGTAGGTGATGAGGGTTTAGTAGCAGATAAAATATTACCACATCAGTCTAATGTCACTTATATAGAATGGTGTCCATTGTTAGGACAGAGAGATGACAAAAAACTTCTATTAGCAAGGTTGGTTTATGAAAAATATTAGTTTATATTACAATGTAGGAACAAATAAACTCTCGTAAACTGCAAAAATAATCTCCAAATGACTTTTACTTAGATTAAAGGTATAATAGTTTTGAAATAATTTCTTTGAAACTGTTTTATTTTTTGATGTTACAATTTACAAGTTTGTTGATAAGTTTGTGCTTAAATAACCTAATCTAACAGCTGATCTAGCTAGTGATTGAGAAATAATGGCTTCAGCCAGTGTTAATGTCTGAAATCTGAAGTCAAGCAAACAGACAAAATAACTGTGTAGACTTACAAAAAAAAAAAAATATCATTTTAATTAATGTACATTTAGTCATGGCTGATTATTATCAACATGTATCAAAAGTTAATAATAAATTAAAACCCTCAGAACATTTTGTTTGGAATTCATTATCTGACTTTGAAGAATTTGTTGATGTTATTTAATAATGAATGCACCATTTATTTCTATGTATAACAGTTTATGATATTATTACAGTGGGTGTGAAGATGGTACTATATATCTGTGGTGTTATCCCCAACCGAGTCCTAAAAACTTGACTCCATCTATCAGTAAAACATCAAGTCAACAATTTACTACTACATCTAGTGTAGGACAGGAGGAAGTCCCTACTATAAAACCTGTTAGAATCTTACTAGGACATATAACATCAGTATCATGTCTAGCATTTAGTCCTAACGCTTTAATGCTTGTATCAGGATGTGTGAAGGGCCTTGTTAATATCTGGTCATTACAGGTAAGTCATTTCATCTAACTCTTTACCTTTTAGACCTACGTTATGTTTCAATATTGAGTAGTGGAATCAAACTTTAAAATGAAGCCTATGACCATTATGTTTAACCCAAATTAAAGAGGTCTAGTAATTTTTAGAGTTAAATTATTTTGTATTTTAGATAGATATGACTGTTTTTTTTAAACAGATTGTTTAATTTGGTTGGGTTGTTTTCTGTAGGGTTCTGTAATAACTTATTATTAACCACAGGCTGCATTTTAATAAGATTTGAGTAACTTTTATTATAAATTTTAGGATGGTTGTTTGAGCCAAACTCATACTGGAAATGGAATTGTTCGTAGTATTTCATGGTTCTCAGAGAGGATGATTGCACTAAGTTGTAGCAGGTCTAAGGTAAAATAATACTGCATGCTCATACAAATTTTTGCACTCAGATAATATTTCATGACTATTAGAATCAGTTTTTGGTATTTGTTGCTGGATGTCTGTTAAATCAATCGATGTTCCAAAATATATAAACAGATAAGGAAATTATGTTGATTTAGATGATAAACAAATTGCGTAAATATGAAAATGCACAATAAAGAACACAACAATTGATCATGTACATGTAATCAATAATTTTGAATATTGTTTGAACAATGAATTACAACATTTAGATAGTAAATTTTCATTCATTATGGTTACTAAATAAATTATTATTAATCAAACTGTATATAATATTGTACACTTTAAAAACACAACAAAATTTATATGGTAAACAATCACTGGTTTGTACACATATAGCACAACGTTTCGACAAGTATCCTCTTGCAATTTCCAAATTTTTTCAACTAAAGTCGTTATACTTCAGCATGTTTTGTGACAAAGAGGGATTTGAAAACTTTCTTTGTAAATGAAATATTTAAAACAATATATTTTGTTTTTTTCAACAGGACATGACAATTATTCATTATTCACCGGAGTCTTGTAACAAGAATCGTGTTGTTAGTGTAGCCAGAAAGTCACTGAAATCAAGAGGTCTTGTTGGATTACATCAAGCACCTTGTTTCCGTGGGTTACTACAACGTTTACCCAATATGCTACAAGAACAGTATTTATATGAGAAGGTAATAAAGTAATTAGATCATCAACAGTCAAATGATTTATTGCAGAGTTTTTGGCCCTGTCCCCGAAACCTTGAAAAAACTCTACAGTTTTTGAGATTTCCTGACAAGGTTATGTTGAGTATTTGCAGTGTGAATTTTGTTTTAAAATCTCAATCTTCATATTATTCCTGACATTTGGATCAAATTTTGTTAAACTATATTGATTTACAATACCCTGATATTTGACATTTAATAGTTATTAATGGTTTTCTTTTTAGCCAATTGTAATGAGTGGGGATCAGTTAATGTATAGTCAGTATTTACAATGTCTAGTTTCTATGGTAGTAGGATTGTCATTAGATGCAGCACTATGTTATACACCTCAACCATTACATCATATTACAGAAGAAACTAGTAAGTACATACAATTTATGTTGCTTTCAAAGAAACATTTAGTCTGAAACAATATATCAATTCTTAGTACATATTTTAATTTTTGATGACGTGCCATAATGTCACAGTGCAATAATTTTACGTTTACAGATATATGTTACAGGTGAATGAGTCCGTGAGATTTGATGTCTATTTGTCCCATGCCCCTGTCTGCCCATATGTTAACACATTTTAAGCAGAGTAATAAGCAATTTGTTTGTTCTATAAATGAATGTGCAAGTATCATAAATTTATTTTAGAATGAAGGTGGGGGACCACAGCCTTATTGTTTGTTTGTTTATTTAACTGTTTGTTTTGTATTTTCAGTTCAAGACGGTATTGTATCCGAGTGGCAGTGGTTACTGACTTATGCTACTGCTATTAAATCATGTGAAGCTTTGTCTAAACGTTCACCATTTCCCAAATCTTTCACCAATCTTGATCATGAAATTGAGGTTTTTACTGACAATAAAGAAGAAATTATGGTGAGCTAATATCACTGTACTTTCTTTGGCAGCTTATAATTTAACTACAAAATTTCCTATAATTGAGGGGGTTGGGTGGCTGAATGGTTAGCACGTGCGCGCTGTACCATAAAGTCTGTCATTGAGTCAACTGGCGTGGTTTCGAATCCCCATTTGTGCGTGGCAAGGAGTAGGGTCGCCTGTCCAACCTCGTGGGTTTTCTCCGGGTCCTCCGGTTTCCTCCCACTGCTAAAGATCACTATGCGCAAGCGAATTATTGAAATAAAATTAAACCATGTGTTGGTCCCGACGAAATGATCTAGTTTGTGTCAAGTGGGCGTTAAACCCCATTTCTCTCTCTCTCCTATAATTGATCATTGAATTGATCCTTTTTTTTTTACAATTATGTGGGTTTTTTATTAACATGAAAATCTGGTAGATTTTGCACCAAGTAGATTTCGCGCTATCAGCAAATTTAATTTTGAACAGTCTTGTAGTTTGAAGATACATAAAAAGCCTTTCTTCGTATGAGAATTAACTATTAGAATATGTTTTGTTCATTGTTTAAATATATTAACTATAGGATAATAGTAAATGGGATTTAACTATGGATAGTCAGATGATGTCATGGGCAATACAACGACCTGAAGATTGGCAGATTGGTGGTCTGTATGAAGCGTTTCTATGGGGATATGGACGTCATGGTCAGATGTGTGAAGGTGGTCAATCAGCAACAAGACCTGTCAAAGTTCCATCTTTTTCTTGTGCTCAACAGGTATATGTATATCAGCAATTTGATTGTTTGTCTTCGGAATCTGCGATGTTAAGTGTTCACCATAATATTTACTGGATTCAAAGTAGAAAACCTTTAATGATTCATGGATGTGCTCTTTCAGATATTTTTTGAAAAACTGACTTGATGATTTCTATATGGAATCATGATATGTTGATCCTGGCTTAATAATAATTGTCACTATTACAGATTGTGTGCGGTCAGAATTGTACATTTGTTATACAAGTTAATGGAAGTATTATGGCATGTGGTGAAGGTAGTTACGGTAGATTAGGTCAAGGTAATTCAGATGACCTTCATACTCTGACAGCTATATGTACTCTACAAGGTGAGTTGGATATGTGTGATACATGTAGTTTATAAGAGCATAGCATAATGTACTGCACAGAATTATTCTACACTGAAAAATATTGATAAGACCTACTATGTTTACAATTATTATTATCTATTCCAAAGTTCTCCACAGGGGGGTTGTTCATTGGAACTAAAGGAGGGACCCTAATGAGATTCAGACATTTCTGATCATAAATTTTGGAGTCCTCAACCTTTTTATTTTCAAATTTATGAAATTTTGTAAACACAATACAGATGGGATATTTTAAAACTCAGTGTGATTGTTCATTGGGGAATAGATACGAACACTAGTGGATTTCTAAAATTTGTAAGAACAAAATTTGTCTGTCCATTCTCATTTTGAATTTGAAAGCTTGCGAACATGAGAAAGCTCTCAGTGATAGCTTAAGATCTCGACATAGGATAGAGTTCTCTATGGAATTTAAAATAAAAAAAACGTACTTTAATTGTTTAGAAGATTACGTCAGGATTTGTTTACATTCATTTTTGATCCAACATGAACATCTTCTGATGGGGTTATTAGGGGGCCTGACAAGCCCCGGTATTCAACGTATGATGATTACATCTTGATCTTACATCTTGAATTTAAATCTTTAGGATTTGTAGTCACACAAGTAGCAACATCTGTTGGTTCAGATGGTCATAGTTTGGCTGTGACCGAGAGTGGAGAAGTCTTTAGTTGGGGTGATGGCGATTATGGTAAACTTGGTCATGGTAACAGTGATCGCCAGAAACGTCCAAGACAGATCGAACCTCTACAAGGAGAGGAAGTTGTTCAGGTACCGTTTAGATTTCATTACATGTTTTAGATTTGCTGAGAAATAAAAGAAATCCATAGAAACATTTTACTTTTTGAATTAAATTGCCTTTGATTCATTTTTTTGTTGCCATCTGGAATGAGAGTGAGTATGCTGAATTATTTGTATAAAAATTGTTATGGCCATTAATTGTAGTTATCAGCTGGCTATAAACACAGTGCTGTAGTAACAGCAGATGGTAAACTTTATACATTTGGTAATGGTGATTACGGTCGTCTAGGACATGGATCAACAGCCAATAAGAAAACACCAGAAAGAGTTGCTGAATTAGAAGGATATCAGATTGGATATGTAAGTTTTATTTTATTATCGGGCACATATAGTTTTAGATTTGAAGTTTTTAAAGAAAGCAAATCAAATTGTATTTTTCATCAACCAGTTAATTAGGGTTTCTGTGCTTGAATTACCACACTTTTTTCAGGTATCTTGTGGTCTGAACCATACACTATGTATCTCTGTTGACGGAAGTAGTGCCTGGTCCTTTGGGGATGGAGATTATGGTAAATTGGGGCACGGCAACATGACTGCAACCTCAGTACCAACTAAAATAGAAGCTTTGCAAGGATACAAAGTGAAAAAGGTTGCATGTGGTAACCAATTCTCTGTGGCATTGACCAAATGTGGAAATGTTTTGACTTGGGGTCAAGGTAATTTATGTTAATAACATTATGTCTTTTGTATGGTTTTTTTTTAACAAATTGACATATATTATTATAAATATTGTGTATTCACGCTTTCTTTAAAGATTAATTGTTTCTTAAAAGCTAAACCTTTGTACAAATGTTTATTTATTGATATTTTTATGACATTTCTAAAATTATACTAGCTTGTAGATCGTGTACATCGTTTGTCTAATTTTAGCATAGTGTTTAATTTTTTGGGGGGGGTTATCCGTTCTTTCACAGATCGTTTGATTGGTCATGGTAATGTGCAGCCTCGAAACCCAACAGTACCACAAGTCATTGCTGCATTGAAGGAATATTTTATTGAAGATATTGCAGTAGGAGCAGAGCATACTCTAGCTTTAACTTCCACTGGTGAAGTATGGGCTTGGGGCAGTAATTCTGATGGACAACTCGGTATCAGACACCTAAACTCACCTGTAAAAGAACCTGTTAAAGTGCCAAATCTTGAAGGAATCCATATTTCACAGGTTTGATTTATAAATTAACTTTTATTGCATTTACCCAAATATATTTAGAGTAGTTGTTTTCTTGAACCTATAACCCTAATTTTTTTCCAGGATGTATAATATAACAGGCATGTGCTATTTTAGACCACCATTGACCATTCAACAAATGCTTTCCAAGAATCCAGATTTAAACATCAATCAATTGTGAATAAGCATAACATACAGGCATGAGATGCTGTTTCTTTCCTTCCACTAGAGGCTAGGGTTTAAAATATTAACCGGGTTTAAGTTTAAGAAGATTTTAAATATAGAGTGCTGTCCAAGCATCACCAGTAGTTAAGCTCTAAGTCAACTTTCAAAAAGAATAAATACCAGTTTTTTATATGCCCACATTGAAATGTGGTCGTATATTGTCGTCGCCCCCGTCCGTCCGTTGGTCCGGCGTCCACAATTGCTTGTGGACGCTCAAGAGGCTAAAGTTAATATCCGATTGACTTTAAATTTATATACAGTGTTTAAGGCCATGAGACGAAGAAGCCTATTGATTTTCAGCGATTTCCGATAATTACTGCCAGAGTTATGGCCCTTGATCACTTCAAAAAATCTTGTGGACGCTCTAGAGGCCAAAGTTAATATCCGATTGACTTTAAATTTATACACAGTGTTTAAGGTCATGAGACGAAGAAGCCTATTGATTTTCAGCGATTTCTGATAATTACTGCCAGAGTTATGGCCCTTGATCACTTAAAAAAATCTTGTGGACGCTCTAGAGGCCAAAGTTAATATCCGATTGACTTTAAATTTATACACAGTGTTTGAGACCATGAGATGAACGATGATTTTCAACGATTTCGGATAATTACTGCCTGAATTATGGCCCTTGATCACTTTGAAAAATCTTGTGACGCTCTAGAGGCTAAAGTTATCATCCGATTGACTTCAGATTGATACACAGAGTTTAAGGTCTTGAGACGAACAAGTATATTGATTTTCAATGAATCTTTATGACTTGAAACAGCTAAATCCATGATGTTAAAAGTTTCGTATACTAAACGTTAGCATGGGACAGAACTTTATAAAATCAAACAAATTCTAATGGTTTTCTGATAATTACTTAATGAGTTGTTACTCTTAATCAGATTTTAATGTATTATAAATGTTTCATTACCGAAAAAACTCAAAATATGCGACAACTCTTGTTGACTGCGCGGACGATATAGCTGCTGTTTCGTTGCCTGGCAACCTATCTTATATTATGTTAGTTCAGCTGTTTTATTGTTTTTACAGATTAGTGCTGGTAAAACTCACAGTGCTGCCTGGACAGCACCTCCACCACCACGACGAACCCCAGGTTCACCTCGCCCGTTATTACTTGGTGTACCAGAAGATATACCCCCACAGTATGGGAGTTTAAAGTGCTGTAATCCATATAAAATACGAGGACGTCTAGCTCTTCTTCATCATTTCTCTGATCTTATTTACAGTACATGGAGATTACTTAACCTACCTCAAATAGTAAGTTTTTTCCTTAAATATCAGTAAATATATGCCTCTTTTTTAAAAATCAGTTTTTAATAGGCCTGTGGTTTCATTTTAAAGATGGGTTCCCAGAAAAGTATTTATCAGGTGGTTATTTCCAATAAAAGTATGGCAATTTTGGTATATATGGAAAGTAGAGATATCCAATCTTACTAGAAAAATACTGGATTCCCCGAACACTCATGGAGCGTATACAGTACAAAAATGTAAGGGTTCCCCTAATCGACAGCCTGACGATTAGGAATTTCTGCATGTGTGATGTCAAAGGTCACACGCGAAGATTGAGCGCTTGATGTACAAGTTGATAAACTTTATGAAGAGTTACACATACAACACTTTCTGAGATAAAAAATGACAGAAAAAGACGCGGGTAGTGGATAATCCGAGAATTTAATTAGGATTCGATATTTGTCATAAATAGTAAGCGATTAAAGACAACATCGTCTTATGTATGCAATGAATTCTCCTCTGACTTCTGAGAGAGGTAAGTCACGTGACGTAAACATGACCTGGTTTGATCAAATTTTTATAGCAGGGCATTCCTTGGCAATTACAATGTTTGAGAAGGATTTGAAGCAAAATTATGACAAATTAATTAGTTTGAATATGTTTTTAGTCCATATATACCATTAAATCACCCAGTTTGTACAAGGGAATGTATCTTTAAAAAAATATTTAATCACATAGGTGTCCATCAAGCAGGTTCATTATGGATTCATTTGTGATTAAATGACTGGCATTGGAGTATGTCTGTTGCTAGACAGAATTTAGTGCGAAATAACTATGCTTGTTGCTTGATTGAAAGTTTATCAGACCCTCAACGTAAAAGTTTTATTTCTTATATTCCAATTTTAATATCAATACTATTTTAGCAGAAAGAATACTCTAGTTTTGAATGTGGAGCTACAGGTATAATTGATGGTAGACTGAGGAATATTTTATCTCCACGAGTTTATACGCTGCCAATGGTGAGATCAATTGGTCGTACAATGGTGCAAGGTAAAAATTGTGGACCACAGATTACAGTTAAACGGTTGTCAACAAGGTATGAAATTCTACTGATTTTATCATTGTAGAATATTTCAGGGCTTCATACTTATAAAAAGTGTGAGAGTGAATAAAAGCACTCAGCGTAAACTTTGCAAGCATGTTTTCAAACAAACTCTGAAAAGTTTTGCGAGAGCTATGAATTCATTCTGCAGAACCGGATAAAGATATTTTTTATTAAGTCATTAAACCTTATAATTGAATGACATTCCAGTTTTTGAATGTATGCAACATGATTACTGTCTTGAACCATAATAATAATCACAGAACTAAAAAATCACTCCATTACTGAGTAACAAGAATATTTAACTTGCCATTCTGCCAATTACATTTGGTGTTTCAGTCAATCAAAAATTTGTCTGGTATTATACTCGGTGACAAGTTTCGTGAATTACATCGATCAAGAAATATTTGAAGATGAATAAAATGACACTGTTTCCTCTGTCATTGTGCAAAAATGTGTGGATTATCATTAAGAATTTTCACAATGTACTGTTCAATCAGCATTTAGTAATTATAATAGAACACATTCAAATAAACACAAACTATTTCTGGCTTGAAAGCAATTACTTTAAGCAATTTTCACAATCTGTCTGGGTTTCAAGACCTTTTATAGCTTCATGTCTAAAGGGTTAAACATGCACATTTATTGATATTTACCAGCACGGAGCAACAGTCCAATATTTATTTCTGTTATGTTTACAAACAAGTTAAATTTTGACAACCTTTCATTATATTATAGTTGATGTATATATGTTTTGTTGCCTAGAAACCTATTTTCTATTCTTTTATTGTAGAGGTAAAAAGTGTCGACCTGTGTACATACAGACAGCGCATCAAGTTGTTAAATTAAAAGCAGAAGAGCTACGTCTGCCAGCTCGAGCATGGAAAGTTAAATTAATAGGTGAAGGTGCTGATGATGCTGGTGGAGTATTTGATGATACAATTACAGAAATGTGTCTGGTAGGTTAATTATGCCAAGATTATTTGTTTTATTATATTCCATACTTTATATTTTACTTCACTGCTGATAATTTTTGTTGTGATCTTACATATATACTGTAAAGAGCAAGGGAGCCGGATCAGTAACAAGGAGGTCAAGAGTTTGATCTCAGTGTTGGCCTAGAAAGCTCCCCAGGATTTGCCAGTGTGATTTTGCTCTTGTCAGTGGAGTAGGATGGGGGCCTGGCAAGCACAATGTCTAGTTGTATGAATGGGGTAAAAAAACGGGCTCTTGTGTACACGGCATGCATGTAAAAGAACCTGTGACAGTTTAATTTGATATAAGAGTAGGCGTTAGCGCTGCTGTGTGGACAAAATTTCACTTACAGCACACAATAAGCATATGCCCATCTTCATTAGCTCAGTCGGAGCAGAAAAAAGTAGGTTGTTAAACCCCATTTTATTTGATTCCATTTCGTAAAGAGCAATTACACCAAGACACTATTCACTGAGCTATGCATGAAGTTTCATGCATAATTCAGCTAGTCAGACTTTTAAAAGTAGTTTAAAAAAGAATTAAAATCCAATACCAAATCCAACATTATATGTAATTGACATGAAAATAGCAAGTCTCAGAGTTAGACTTTCCATAGTGAAATTTGTGCTTAAAAGAAGTGACCACTTGTGAGAGTATGAAATAATTAATTGGCTTTTAGTACTTTGTTTAGGTTCATGTCTTCTAACATGCAAACTGTTACAAAAATCTAGAGATCCCTGATAAAATAAAGTCTGACAACCACAAAGATAATTGTTACACACCCTGTAGTAATCAGTAATCGGCCATATTTAATGAGATCATTTTTCCTGGGATGGTTTATAAATAATGATGTAGAAAGTAAATGATGTGACTTGTGTTATACCTTTAAAATGTTTTCAGAGAACCCTCATATAAAATGCATAATGCAGGGATCTTAATCGGCTGTTTTTTGTCGGCTTTAGCCGCTTAAAGTATCATAAATCAATCTACTTTCGGCCAAATTACAATGGGTTGATTATTACTTGCTAATTAAGTAGTCAGTCAACTTGTCGGCTAAAATAACAGTCATACCTTATAGAATCGGCCATGTGTTTCATAATCCGAGCAATTAGCACAAGTAACGGTAATTATATAATGTATATTGTAGGAATTAGAATCTGGAATAGTTCCATTACTGATACCTACACCAAACTGTAAAAGTGAAACAGGCAACAATAGAGACAGGTTAGTAATGTATATTTACAAATTGAAATTAAAACAAAATCAGATTCTACAAAACTTTAGTGTCTTCTGACCATAGTAACTAATATGGTATTGTAAAGTCCACACCCATGATCGGAGTGATTGCCCCTAAATGATGGCACAAATGATTTAATGCCATTGTGTTAGCATTGAAGATATTTAACAAGTTCTGAGTAAACCTCAAATATTTTTAGATGATATCATATAGCATTAATGATTATATTTTTGTTTTTCTTGTAGATTTTTACTCAATGCTCAGTATCAGAATGCTGAATCCGAGGATTCTGATGTATTGTTTAAGTTTTTGGGGATTTTATTTGGTGTTGCTATACGAACAAAGAAACCCCTAGATTTACATCTTGCTCCATGTGTGTGGAAACTATTAGCAGGAATTACATTACAGCTTGAAGATATTGAAGAGGTATTATTTGTGTTACAGATTTGACAGCACAAAATAAAATACATTTATAACACATCTGCTTTTATTTGATCTGATTAACATCTCATTAAATCATCTTATTAAACTGTCTTGTGGGATAGAATGTCTTATTTTTAAACTGGTTATTTATGTGCATATAGTTGGCTATTATATATTCTGTACTATGTATAGGGGAGTTGGATGGTCTAGTGCAGTGGTTCTCAACCAGTGTGCCGCAAAACCTTCCTATGTGTGCCGCGAATTTTTGAACGGCACACTAAGAAAATGCGAAAAACCACATGATCTTAATTGAGTATTCACTGGTGTCTACTGGTCAGTTCATAGCTGTGTTTTTCTTCATTTAGTTTGAGCCATTCGATGTGTCTATGACTAGTCCGTGTCTACCGTTGTATGCAGTCTATGACTTTTGCAAACTTCAAATATTTTTCATATATATTTAGCCAGGTGTGCCGCTAATTTTTCATGTGTTCCAAGGTGTGCCGTTGGCAAAAAAAGGTTGAGAACCACTGGTCTAGTGGTTTAACGCATGCGTGAAATCATAAGATCTGTCATTGAGTCAACTAGCGTGGTTTCGATCCCCAGCTTGTACGTGACAAGGAGTAGGGTCGCCTGTCCAGCCTAATGGGTTTTCTCTGGGTTCTCCGGTTTCCTCCCACAGCTAAGACTACTACTTCCAATAAAATTTTTGAAATAAAATTGAACCATATGGTACACCCAAAATGACCTACTTTGTGTTGAGTACAGAGTAGATGTTAAACCCCACTTCTCTCTCTTTATAATTAGTATATATATATATATTCATTTCCAAGTTGCTAACTATTCAATATTTTTATACAACATTTATGATATATTGGCAGGATTATGACACCAAAAACTAAATAGAAAGAGGTTTAGGGTGAAATGCAGTATCAGGTGTTCATGCACAGGGAAATGTCGATGCACCATGTAGTGGAATACTGCTGAAGGCATGAAATCATAGATTTCTTTACTTATTTGGATGCTTGCTTGTGTTAAACCTGTTTCAATGAATTTTAAATGATCAAAATCAATTAATATAAATTAAGAATAATGTTATTTGTAATTTCAGGTAGATTATTTATATATCCAGAGTTTACGTGGAATTCAAAATATTCAAGAAAATGGTGTTAATGAAACCAACTTTCATGAGGTACTTTAACAGAATGTCTTTTTTCAGTAGCTGATTATTATATTAATAGGATAGGTTGATATATCTAAGTTGAACTAGTTGTTACAAGACGGACAGACAGCCATCTCTATAGCCACAAGACGGACGAACGGCCAACTCTATAGCCACATATTTTCCTATCACAAAACAAAACACTGTGTTTAAATTTAAAGTCAGTCAGATATTAACTTTAGCGTCTGGAGCATCCACAAGATTTTCAAAGTGCTCAAGGGCCATAACTCTGGCAGTAATTATCGGAAATCAATGGGCTTCTTCGTTTCATGACCTTAGACAATGTGTATAAATTTAAAGTCAAATTTAAATACTCTTTAACACTACACAACAAAACACTACTTGATTTCTGGTGAAGTGAATAACACAAATGCTACACAAAACAAGCTTGATACAGCTTCTGTTTTACTTTGTCGTGATCATATAGGCACTACATTTATTAGAACATTAGAACAACCGTCAGAATCATATCACGAAACAATACATCATCTCACATAACACCTTATGTAAAATCCTTACATTGTCTCCCAATTCCAGCTCCCATCAACTTTTGGTCCTGTGCCGCACACCAGTGTCTACGAAATCTTGCACCCAGCTATTTATCAGAACTACTAACACTATATCAACCAAAACGATCCTTGAGATCTTATAATCAGAAAACTCTTGTCATTCCACAATCAAAGCTGAAACATTTTGGTGATAGAAGTTTTAGTGTAGTTGCTCCTAAATTGTGGAATGCTATGAGAATTAGACTTTCTGTTCACTGTGTATATAACTTTTGTCTCATTGCGCTTTGATAGATTTGGTGCTCTACAAATGTACATTATTATTATTATTATTATTAATGTCTTCAAGACATCATTTGTCACTCTACAAATGTACATTTGTAATTAGTAAACAAACAATCTATGACAGTAAACAAGGTCAATATAAAGGGGCAATATATCACATCTTCAGGATTTTGTTACACTAGTCAATTTCTCTAAATGATAACTTAAAGAATCTAGATAATCCAATCCTCTCGCTGTAACAGCAAGTATCTGTAAGCGTAGTTTTAAAGGATCTGGGTATCTTGTTGGCTAGTCTACTTATGCTGCACCACATTATTTCAGCAAGTTCCTGTTATTATGATTAACTTACTGTGATCATGTTCAGATCATGTATTTATCACATCAAAGAAAGTGTGTCATCTGGCTAGACTCATACATGAGGGTTGAAAGTATATATACCTACCAAACTCTGTCTTGAAAATATGGTCTGCAACTGAAAAACTTCAAAGAAAACTAAATTCTGAATGTAAATGTGTTTTATTTTCAGTTTATTCCAATTGATAGTTTTGAGGGTCAAAGTTCATCAGGTGAAATGGTTCCCATAATTCCTGGTGGTTTAAAGATTCCGCTTCATTTTAACAATCGTAAAGAATATGTACAGAGTGTTTTCCAGTACAGGTTACATGAAATGGACAGACAGGTATTAAACTTTGGGACTTCATAAGCAAAATACCTCTAATGCAAGGCAGAATTAAAGTATAGATAACTGTAGCCTTGTGGTTCTGCCATGGTTGCATTCAAAATTCTCCCTGTGTTGATAACGCAAGCTTTATAATTAATAACTAATCTGCTTTATAATGTACAGTAGTTTGTTGTTTTGACCAAACTTGAATAATGTCATTATTCTTTTATTTCAACTCCCTTGAGCTCAATTTGTTCAATATTGGAAAATTAGTCCAAAAATGGGTCAATTCTGTATTTACAAAGAACAACTGAACTTCACTCAATCTATGCTGCTCATTTTGCAAAATCTAATTGATGGGGCCTCAGGTGCGTCCAGATAAGCGTCCAAGGAAATAACGTTGAAAAAACTTGTGTGAAGCATTGCCGCCATTTTGGCGCACACTAAACTGCTGTAATCCTATACATGTATATTCACCTAAATGAGCAGAAATATTGTCTCAAAGCTTCTGATTTTTATATCAAATTCGCGGGTAGTTTCCTTTGTCTCCATCTCCCCATCCCCTACACTCATATTCCTGGACACAGCCTTGGGGAGATTATCTAGCGTCGATAATTTGATTTCGTTTTCTTAAAATAAATGTTTAATAATGAATTCGAGTACATATTAGTGTGGACTAGGCTGTGAGAAATTTGACATTTACAAATGGTAAGCTTCAAAACCTTGAGTTTTAGATCAAATTCTTTGCTGTGTAAATAAATTTCCTTCCAGTATGGAAATAAAAGTTTATGCTTATCTAAAAACTATATCCATTTCATGTTGACTATGTTATGTTATTTGTACTGAATAATATTATTTTGTAGGCTGAGTTAGTACGAGAAGGTATGTCATGGATTGTACCAGTACCTTTATTATCTCTACTATCAGGTCAGTCTCTAGAGCAGCTTGTGTGTGGTACGTCAGAGGTTTCTATTGATGTCCTTCGTAAAGTTGTCAGGTTAGTTCTAAACATTTAAATAATAGCTAAGGGAATACTCGATTGAACATTTCGGATTTGAATTCTCTCAGTCCAAAAAATAGTGACAATCGAGTGAAAAGGGAAATTTCAGACTATAGCGCATGCTTTGACAGTCAAAGTTTGACTGCATAAGAAAATATCCCAATCAATCATGCCAGCCGAATCACGATTCTACTCACAACACATCTTAAGGCTCCTCCTAGATATTTTCTTTTGAATAAAACTGGTTATGTCTTTTTAATATTTATCCTACTAATCCTATTTAAATAATATATGTAGATCTATGATTGTCTTTTTTTTTAATAAGTCTTGCTTGGTGAAAAGAAGTTGCCTTACTACTTGCTATATTTATTTCTGAATAGACATGTCTATGAGCCAATCTTGGTATCCCCCGCAGCATCATCCCGCTCTTCCCAACTCTGGGTCCATCCACAGGGTTTTCACAAATTCAAATTTTACGAACCAATCAAAAAACGGTTTGCGTACTTATCGTCATTGTTAACATTCACCACAATAATCTTAGTTGCAATAAAATGTGAGTTACTTTCTTCCGCCCACTCAATTGGTCGATAAAAATAGCCGAAGTATCAACGGAGGATAATTTGACTGTCTCCCCTGTGGATTGACCTAGAGGTTAGTGGAGTAGAACGGAACGATACCACTGGGGATACCGATAATGGTCTATGAGCATAAATAGTCACATATATAATTAATGGAGGTCAGTGTCTTATATGTGTTACTGAAAATTTCGGCTATAACTCTACATGTTGGCATTTGATTTATATCCCCCCACCCCCTTTGTTTATTAATGCATGTCCTGTGAAATCTGAGATTGCCTTTTTAAATTATTTATTACATAACAGATAATTTTATTTTAAATGATTTGCTTTTTAATTATTATTAGATACCGTGGTATAGAAGAGACACATACACTAGTTCGCTGGTTCTGGGAAGTACTTGAAAGCTTCAGTAACGATGAGAGAATTCAATTTTTACGATTTATCTCTGGAAGAACAAGACTACCTAGTAACCCTGCTGATATTTCTCAACGATTCCAAATTATGACATCAGATCGGGTAATTATACTTTCTCAAGTTTTAGCATGTAGTTCAAGTTGACAATATGAAACCCAAAAAAAACATCTATCTTATTCCTAAGAACATGATGCCATTTTTATACATCCACATTTTCATGCAATCTGATTAAAATACAGATCTGTATTTCGTTTCGTTTTTTTTTTATACTTTCGATGACCTACACTACATAAAGATCTAACAAGTTGTACTATAAGGTAGTGTCAGGGGTCGTACGAGTGGCTTTTGACCATATGACGTCAGACATTGATTAATCAATCAGCGTCACTCTAGAGGTCACAATTTTTATTCGATTTAGATGAAACTTGAAATGCATGTTTGTAACCCAAAGATCTTGGTACCTTTCAATATTCGTGCATATTGGACCACAACTTCCTGGATTGTGGCCCCTAATAGTACAAAAAATCGCATTTAGCTTGTGGTCCCTCTAGAGGTCACAATTTTTATTCGATTTAAAAAAAAAACGTTCAAATATATCACCATCACACCATAATGATGGTTGTGTTTGAATTTTGTGAAAATCGGACCAAAACTGCCAGACAAAATGGCTGTTCCTTGTACGTAATATTAAAGTATGTAGTATCAAGATTGTGGGCTCTCTAGAGGTTACAATTTTGATGAAACTTAAATATATTATGTTTATATCCTAAAGATCTTGTTCCTTTTGATATTCGCGCATATCGGACCATAACTTCCTGGATTGTGACCTGATTGTATGAAAAATCGCTTCTTTTTTTGAGCTTGTTCTTTATGCATTTCTTGCAAAATGTGGGCTTATCTTGCATGGCAGCCACTTGTTGTGTTGTCCGAAATCACAAATCTTTTGGGACAAAAATAGATTTTGCCCCCAAAATGATAAGAGTGGAGAGGTTTAGGTTTCTTTTTCTAGTCAAGAATTTTATACAGCATTCAGTCAGACCTTTCTTACACATAATTAACAGTTATTGATCCCCATTTGTCAGCTTAAAAATAGTCATTTGCCATAAGCTTCAAAATATATATATTTTATTTGATGTATTTTATATGCAGGGTTTAAACAGCCTACCAACATCTCAGACCTGTTTCTTTCAACTACGTTTACCGATGTACAGTAGTCGTGATATTTTAGCAGAGAAATTACGATATGCTATAAATCATTGTCGTTCTATAGACATGGATAACTATATGTTAACAAGAAACGCAGAGAATGGAATTGGATCAGATGATGATCTTCCCTGAGATAAGTGATAACCATAGAAAAATACAGACAATTATTTATGGTAATTATAGATAATAATACATTACAAGGTTATTTATAGCGTTATATTTGAGCTTTTAGGTGTGAATATTTACAATTGTACAACAACTACTGTTTGAAACGTTATGTCTGGTCAAAGTGACCACAACAAGAATAGTGTGTAAATATTAGAACAATATGATAGTCTGTATCTTGATAATGTTTGTACTGAGAATGTTATGTTTAAAGCAGTTAAAGTTATGTCTGGTCAAAGTGACCACAACACAAATATTGTGTGAATAATAGAACAATATGACTGCATTTTAGCTGATGTTTGTACTGGGGATGTTAAAACAGTTGTCATGTTGTGTAATAAGAGTCCCAAGTTAGCTTATACATGAATATTATTTCTTATAATGGTGATATATTGTGTATCCAATTTTTAAGTTGCCAAATAATAGTATTGTGCAGCAATAATTGTATTAAATTCATTCTTGTGTGATAATTCAAACCCTTATTCATTCCAAATTGCTAGTGTATATAATTTTGTGGATTGAAAGCTTTAACATTTAGCAAAAGTTTATTTTTCAAATAGTGAAATGTTTCTGCTTTATGAAATACCAGTAAAAATATTGTAGGCCTTTGAATGGATACAAATTCATATGTACATTAACACTTGATTAAACATACATTATGCAAGAGCTAAATTTGCCTATTTCAGGTCTTTCTTTAGGCCTGAAATGTTATCTAAATTATTAATTAGACATTAATTAACCTATCCAGGCCATAATCAACTCTAGATGGCAGCGCTAGCCTGCGATCTTTAGTGGATTGTAAGCCGATTTACTGCATAACTTTCCTTCTCGATTAAACGATTAAATGGATAATCGAGACTATCCTATTTATCGTACTGACTTTAGTAATGATGACCGAGGCTTATGGGAATTTCAGTCGCTTAGTTCTCGGTTCATAGTGGATCAATTTGAATGAAATTTTCACCAAATTGCCTTTACATTATCTAGTTTTCAACTATTATAGTGAGAACTGCCAACTCGTTACCGAATCTCCCATAATGTATCTTTAATATTTATTTTGCTACTTTATTAAACTATATTGTATACAGTAAATTAGATAATACACCAAACTACTTGTGAATTAGCAAAGAAGTGTCAAACTTTACCCATATGATTTCCTATATAATCCCTGGGCAAAACATTTAGAAACACAGATCTACTTGCACTGTACTTAAAATATTTCGGCAAGTTGAAAATAAATCTGGGGTTATGCACAGAAGTGAGCAAACGTTTGACCATCTGAGACTTATAATTGTAAATGTGCTGGCATGACTTCAACATTTGGATTTCAGTGAAGCTATATGAAGGTGTTAATTTGGTATATTGATAACATTGTATTTATATACATGTATGTATGTGTGATGAATAATCCTATTTTTTGTATATTTTTATGTGGATATGAGATGGCTTTATGAATAGTATAAATTCTGGAGTATGTATTGATAAAAGAGTAAATGAATGTTTTTAATATGTAATGTCTATGTTAAACTTATAACAGTATCTACAATGTCAGCAAAGTCTTTCACTTTTCTTTTTTCCCTGCATGTGTACATTGTGTTTATTTATTGTGTATAAAAATATAAATTAAAACATATACAAACATCATTCATTGAATGTTCTCTTATCTTTACCCTGTCTTTCAAATAAAACATAATTATTGGACAACAATTATGGATAATTGTCTATCATATCAATGTTATAGTGTCAAAATAACATCAACGAAAAATATAGATCTGTATTTTAATCAGATTGTATCAATGTCAGTGACAAAATAACATCGCCGAAAAATTTGTCTTAAAAGTTGCTGATCATCATTTGAGGTACCGGCATATTGAATCCTTTGCGAACAACAATATTTCAAAAGCTGAATGTCAAAAAAGACCTTAAATACAAAAATGGTGTAATTCCATTTAGTATTTACAAAGTTATGCTGAATTGAAAAGTAAGCAACATTTGTAATTCTCTCTACAACGTAAATAGACAGTGTCACCTACATAGTGTTTGGACAATCTGATTAAAACATAGATCCTATTTCGTTTCATTTTTATAGTTCAAAATTTAGTTTTACTTGTCTTTACTACACTAGGATTTGGAAGAATTATTATCATTGACGTGTTATGAATGGTGTGAGGGATTAGCCAGTGAAATGGTCTGTTACGGCAAGCTTTAGAAGTGTTTTGCACGGAACTGTTGGTAATCCACTAGTAACATCAATGCTGATTGGTTAATCAAATGTCTGATGTCATAGGGTCAAAAGATGCTCGTATGACCTCTGACACGACCTATTGCTACAACCGGTCAGATCTTCATGTAGTGAAGGTCATCGATAGAGAGAGAGAAATGGGGTTTAACGTCCACCCGACACAAACTAGGTCATTTTGGGACTAACAAATGGTTTAATTTAATTTCATTAATTCATTAAGGGTCTTTAGCAAAGCGGAGGACCAGCTACTCCTTGCATAAAACCAGAGAATCAAAACGTGCACGCATTGACCATTCAGTCCATGACCCCCCAACCCCCGGTCTGGTTGAGACAAAACAAGATGTATTTTTACCGTTAACATCATACCCTCTTCACTGTTTAATTACATTAACAATACAATATATACAAACTGTAGGATAAGAATAGATTTACATGAACACAACTAAGTCTATATACTAAACTCATAAACCCATTGTCCCAAGTTCTGTCTAAACTACACACAGCAAGTGTTTTACTCTAGTCTATCAGATCAGTATTATTGACAACAACATAATTGTAATTCCCCTCTGATAAAAGTCCTTGTATCTGATTTATATCAATATTACCAGTTGATGGCAGGACTATCTCATAATTACATCCCTCGTAGGCTAATCTTGAACTCTGATTCTGCTGTCCGTTTTCACACATGGAGATGACTTCTTCAACAACAGAACACTGATTATGATGATCACCATCTTGGTTACAGTTTGCATCATTGTCATTAAATTCAGACAACGTATCCTGCTCTCCACTGGCATACACCGTCTGTTCAGTAGCAGTTGTGTCTACAATGGTAGAACATGTAACAGTGTTGGCTATAGATGTAAACATAGAACTTAATGTCCACTGACGAACGTTTGCTTCATAGTCCTCCATGTTTATAACATTAGAAGTATTTGTTTTGCTGTCTTTTGAATCCAATATTTGGAAATCTGAGTCTATATTGTTAACAGCTTCCACCATTAATTCTTGTTCATTAAGTTTCTGTTTCTTTGGTTGAGAAGCGGTACATGAATGTGGATTAAACATTTCAGTTCTTGCTGCTCTGCCATGAATTACATTGCGTTTTCTGTGGTGTTTTCTTGGACTGATATCTACAACTTCTTCCATATGATCTAATTTTATAGGTGATTGAAGATGATTTGTTAATTCTGTAACAACCTTATCAAGACCTTTTTGTGAAGGGTCTGATGAATAGGTCTCTTTCAAAGGAGCATTAACTTCCTGACGTCCTTTCTGACACTCTTCAACAAGACCCTCCATATAAAGGCAAGAATGAACATGGTTGTAAAAGAATGTTGCACTGGCTTCTACAATTGAACCACACATACAATGGTAGTGTTTGGTAAGCTGCACACCATGGTTTTGAAAGCAAGGCAAAGCAAATGTTCCTAAAATGAGAAAGGACAAAAAATACTGGAGTATAATATGCATGTATAATCACAAGCATACAGGGCATGCCATTTTTCTTGATGCATCTCTTGTCAAGAGTAGAAATTGGCCTCAAAATTTGCATGGTGAAATGACTCGCTATTATTCCTGAGATGAGCCAATGCTCTTTGAGGTTGTAATTTAGAGAGAGTGAGAGAAACGACGTTAAACACCCACTTCACACCAACTAGGTTTTTTGGGGACACTAATTCATGGTACAATTTTATTTCACTCATTTGTTTTCTTCAGTGACACAGATTATACAATCTGAACCAGATGGGATTCATGCTTATGAAGTTCATATCGTCGGTGAAGTGTCAAAAGGGTGTATCTCGGGAAATTAGTCAAATACACTTTTTTGCATTTTTAAAATCTCCCAATTAATATGCACATTTCTGTCTAAGCTGCGTATCTCTACACCAATTACATGTAGAACTGTTCTGGGTATCATGTGTCCAAATGTTGTATCTTGATTTGTGGAAATTTTGAAATGCAAAAGGTCCTATTTCTTAATCTTTGGAAATTCTTAGATACACCCTTTTGACACTTTACCCACGATATATGAACATAAAAATATACACCCACTGATTTAGCTAGTTATAATAGTTTTTTAAAAATAACATACTATGTGAATTGTGTTTTTTCCTTAAAAGAAATACACAAAATAGTTGTTTAATTAACCCATATCTTGAAAAATCAAATTGCTTATCTTCTTAGTCTAAAGTCTAAGCAGAAAATGCTCATCATAAAACTTAACCAAGACATTCTCCCAATGAACATCTACCCCAAAAGATGTGACCGACGGACAAACCCATATCAATAGTTCCCTATTTTCTCTGAACGGCAGGAGATGAAAATGAAAGTAGAAATCAAATAATGTCACTTACCATCAATCATAATGACGCGTTTAGACCAATGAGTTTTTAAATGCTTGATGGTGAGTCTACGTGCAACAGGTTTAAAATACATAGGAGGGCAATATGGGCAGTGATAGAATTTACAACACGTTTCACATTTCTTCACTTGAGCTACCAACATATCAAACGGATTAAATATACCATACATTGGATCTGACAAAGCCATATTTGTTATTTCATGATTAATGGCTACTCGATGATCATGTTTATTCTCAGTCTCAACAGGAACATCAAACTGATGACATTCCTCATCACCTTCATTATCAGCCAAACTATTTTGTGCTTCATATGCTGCCTTGGCTTTAAGATGGTCTTGTAAACTTTCTTCGAAAAATTTCTTTGTCTGACCATACGCATGGTCTAGCTTCAAATTTGTTTCCACATGCTTCACCTGAAACAGAGGTTCGTCAATGGCAGTTTCATCTTCACTTGATGACCCTTGAAAAATTTCTTGTAAAGGTTGATTAAAGTCAATGTCCCTCATACTACCAGATCCTTGAAATCCTGCCAGGTCAATCAGACTAGCGTCTGGTATGTTGTATTGATATTGTTCTGCAATGACAGGACAGGGGATAATTTGCCTCGCTTGGGCACACACCTTGGAGTGCTTGAGAAATCGCTTCCTGACCATGGGTGAGTAACCACAGACACAGTGATAATGTCGAACTTGTGAGTCAGTATTATGTGGTAAATTACATGGGTAGGAGAACAGTCCTAGAAAAATAATAAAATATAAAAATAAGACTCAAGAGACATAAACTTGCTTGTATTTACTTGATCTTGCTATGAAGAGGATAGTCCAAAAAAGAAAAAAAAACTTTTTAACTGAGTGCAGAAATGAAACATCATAGAGATATGGGTTTTAACATCCACTGCCCACCAATTGTTCGCCCTATTTTAACTAAAATATAGCCCTTTAGAAAACTTTTGTTGTTTTAATGTATCAAATACATCAATAAGAAACAATGTGCAAAGTTTTGCGTTTCTGGATCAAAGATATTTCTCATAAACAGTGATTGAAAGTTGAGTAAATTCTTAACTTGAGCCTGAGAATGCTTTGTGAACTCAGGGCCAGGCCTTTTGATCGACATAAAGTTGTGGACACACTAGCCGAATCAATCAGTGCCAAAATTCACCTAGTGTGACCAGTGTCATTTACCAGAATCAAACATGTTTGATATATTCGAACCAATTTTCATTCAACCAAATTATATTCGCCTACATGTAGGGTGCCAGCTTTGCTGAAAAATTCGCCCGACTGTAGAATTTATAAGCCCATCATCACTGATTTCGAGACGTCATACGATTCTTTGAAGACATGATCGTGACCATATTTAATCATGTGACGTGAATGGCTTTCCACTTATTCGACCGAATGAATTCGGTGCCAATTGATTTGGCTGAATGATTCAGCTAGTGTGTCCACTGCTTTATGTAACAACCCAACCTTCATCCTCCATTAAACATAATAGAAAAATTGCATTGGATCTCGTCAGATTTCAGCCACCATACAATATGTGTCATAACCTACATGTACATGCATGTAATTCATTATCTAATAATAACTAATTCAAACTTCTCCCAAGTGTGTCAGGCTTTGAGCATAAACTTAGTTTGTGGATATAGCGCATTATAAATATGCACATTATTATTATATTCTATACATCAAATAATCAATACAAAACATTTTCAAGGTAGTAATATGTACATGTTTGTTCATTAAATTTTCATTAACCTAATTCATTAATCATGAAATCCACCATCCTCATACATGTAACTGAAAGATAATGAGAAGCAAAAGCTATCCATATTTTGCCATTAAATCATAGTTTTACTCTTTTCATTACTGGTTACTATATGACGATTTGCTTTTAGTCATTGTGGCCTCAGTCACAGAGACCCATGGAGAATTAAAGAAAGGATTAGAAAAATCAACATTTGTACTAACCTGAAGGTAATAATAATTTATATTTGTGATGATACTGAAGTAAATGTTTGGCTAGTTGAGTTCTATCAGATGGCCTGTAGTTGTTGTTAGGGCATAGAGGACAGTGATACCTTGTACAACATATATAACATCGCTTGCTAACGGAGCACAATTCTTGTATACTACTAAATATACTGGCCAATAGCGCAGGAGGGGGGATCTTTTCACCAAGACGACTATATGCAGGCATAGAATTCCGAGAAATCATCCCTTTAACTTGACCAACTGTTAAAAATGCTTCGGTATCTGTGGGGGCGTCATTATACAACTTTAACCGAGTGTAGTCGTCTTTGGTATATTCTCCTTTTTTTATGTAAGGACAGATCTCTAGGTGTTTTTTAAACAGCTTTTTGTTGGATTTAAAGATTCGATTACATAAACAATGAAAATGGCGCTTCTGAAATTCTCCATGATGAATTAGACAGCCAAGAAAAAATGGACCCTCCTCACCGTCTGAAAAGTAAGAAATAATATAAAAAAGTTAAAAGAGAGAGAAATGGAGATTAACATCCCCTGATGTAAACTAGGTTATTTTGGGACTAAAATAAGTTAAAAGAACATGTTTAACCCTTTGCAACTTGGAGTGTCCGAAACTAATACTGATTCTACTGCCTCAAACCACCCGAATAACTGTGAACTTTTTTAAGAACTGTACATTGTACATGTATACTACTTCTATGAACTGGGCAGTTCGAGGCAATTTTGACGATTTGGGGAACAGTTTTGTGCAGTTTCGAAAACGAGCTACAATGTAAAAACAAATCTTCCTCAGCGTTAATTCTTCGGATGTACCAAAGAGTTAATAAGGTAAACATGTACCAAAGAGTTAAAAATAAGGTAAACAAGGTACCACATATAGAGTGTTGGTAAAAGTTTGACAAAATACTGGTATATAAATGAGAGAGAGAGAAATGGGGTTTAACGTCCACTCGACACAAACTAGGTCATTTCGGGACTAACATATGGTTTAATTTTATTTACATAATTCGCTTGCGCGTAGGGGTCTTTAGCAGAGGGAGGAAACCGGAGGACCCGCAGAAAACCCACGAGGTTGGACAGGGGACCCTACTCCTTGCCACGTACAACCGGGGATTCGAAGGTATATAAATGAGTGACTGAGATGAAACAAGGGCTTGACAAAAGAACACCAATGTTATGAATTAAAAAATATGTAAATTACAAACCTAAGCCATTTAATAGTATAACTCTTGAGCGGAAGTGCATTCTTAAGTGTATTAACAGACGGCCATGACTTGACTGTCTAAAATGTGTTGTCGGACAAACCAAGCAATGATAACGCTTACAACTTTCACAAAATGTTACACTCTCTTGGAAATCTTCCCATGAATCAAAAATGCTCTTGTGTATTTCTCGCGGATAAGTTGGTTTCCTACAGGCCTCAAACCGCTTCATTTCTTTACGAAGCTCTTGGGTCCCTCTCTGTTTTCGAATGTGTTCTGTAAGTGGACATCTAAAGCGTCGATGACGTAGAAATCTTTCCCGTGTGCTGTTTGTCTTAAAAATGGCACCACATGGACAATGAAGATGTTTACTTTTAACAGTACCATGGTGTAAATTACAGTTGAGGGTTCTGTATTCTGAAACAAAAAAATCAAAAAGTAAATATGAGAGAGAGAGAGAGAGAGAGAGAGAGAAATGGGGTTTAATGTCCACTCGACACAAACTAGGTCATTTCGGGACTAACACATGGTTCAATTTTATTTCAATAATTCGCTTGCGCATAGGGGTCTTTAGCAGTGGGATGAAACCGGAGGACCCGGAGAAAACCCATGAAGTTGGACAGGCGACCCTACTCCTTGTCACGTACAATCGGGGGAATCGAAACCCAGCCAGTTGACTCAATGACAGACTGTATGATACAGCGCAGCGCGCACATGGTAACCATTCGGCCATCCAATCCCCCAAAAAGGTAAATATGACCTGATGTGTTAAATGTAAAGCTAATAAATCTCATAATACATTAAAGGGGCATTATTCAAAGACATGCATCTTCCTATTGCAAGTCTTTAGGCCTTAAATGTTATATAAATTATTAATTAGACAATTATTAACATGATAATACCAAAATCAACTCTCGATGGCATCGGATGGCTCCGATTTTAAGTAGATTATAACGGTTCAAAAATTTAATTTAATTTAAAAATGGAGAAGCGAAGCTAAGCCTCGAATAACCTACATCATGGTTACGACAATAAACTACAAACATTGATAACTTATCTCAGAATAAAGTAATTTGAATGAAATTTTCAATATACGGAACATGTATTCATTTTGCATTTATCTATTTTTAAACAATTATAGTAAGAACGGTGAGTTCTTTATCTAAATCTTATGTATCTTTAAATATGATTATCTCAAGGTACTGCCCAGGACTTAATCACAACACTTTAAGCTAATTACTATAAAGAAACTTCCTTTTTTGATGGTTGAGATTTAAAATCAAGGCCAGGAGGTTGACTCTTAGCCAATGAAGAGGCAGTTTTGTTAGATTATTTGGATTCTAGCTTTTATGAATAAATTGTAGTGATAATCATTTTGTCTTCAAAAAATCATGTGACTTTCTTTACATCAGTGGAGATTGGCTAATGAAGCATGTCTGATTCGAACAAATCATTCCGATGAATACAAATTTGGCATCAAGACACTGGAACACTTGGCGAATTTCGGCGGCTATTGATTTGGCCAAACGATTTGACTAGTGTCTCAATGCCGAATTTGTATTCGACTAGTGTGTCCACATGTTTCTGAAGCAACAACTGCGAGCTTCACAGTTGCTTGTTTACTTCACAATTCCCGAACTTATAGCTATATTATCTACGGACATGTGAGCAGTAGCGTCCAATCAGAGGTTGTGACATCGCGACCTCCACGGAAACCTTGACATTGAATGAACCTTGAACTTTGCAACTCAATTATCACAGGTAGACATTTTAGCTTGAAAGCGCTAGACATGGTATTCGCGACGATCGAGGAATCTGATAAGACTCAGAAGTTGGGATTGTACCCAATCGAAATTAGTGCCGCAATATGCAGGGTATTACGTAAAGGCCTTGATAAGATGTACATGTACGTAGTTAAAGCGAGATCAAGCCTTCTATTGAAGATGGTGTGTCCACTGCTTAAGGCCCTTGATCAATAACTATTTGTAACAATTGCTCTGGTGTGTGCTGTAGGGATACATGTTGGCATCAGTGCTTTGGCATGCCAAAACAAACCCTTCCATTGCACATTCATTCTCATGATTTAAATTCATTACAGTAATTTTCATATTCGTTGATCATTGTTGAATGAATCAACTTGTGAAAATACTATAGATTGTACTGACCTGCATCATCAATAATAACTGGAACAGATTTATTCCAATGGACAATATCTATATGATTATTTAGTTTAGGTATTGATCTGGCAGCTTGATACCGTGTCCAAGGACACAATGGACAGTGATAACCTGTACAATTTGTACACTTGACAATAAAAGCATCAAGTTCACTTCTGTCTTGATACATAGATATTCGTTCCCCTACTGGTGGCTCGAATAGACAAACAAAACCTTTTGGATAGCCCTGTTTTTTCCTTTTTCGTTTAGGGCCCTTTTTTAACATTCTTTTTTTAACCGTTTGAAAATCAATTTTAATAAGAGTGCCATCTGGTAACTGCAACATGTGAGCTTCTGTTCCCTGCTGCACTGGGTTATTGAGCGACATGATTGTTTTTAAAACATCTGGCGTCAAAATCTTTTGATATTTTGTAACGTCCTTAACTGTGGATTGCTGTTTCTGTTTAATGGTGGAAACTTTGTTTTGACTGTTGCCATCTTCCTTGGAAATTTCCTCAACATCTTGGTTATTGCCATTGCTTGGAACCTGGTTGCTAACACAGCCAATTTCGGAACTTTGTTCATCCACTTGGTTGGTCCTGTTATCATCTTCAGAATGTTTTCTCTTGTTTTGTCTTTTTTCGACTCCAGATTTGGTACTTTGACCAGCTGTACACTTCCTATTCTGAGTTTCACCTTCAGTGGTTTGACATTCAGATGTACCTCTTACATCAACCTGAATCTGAGTTCCATCTTGTCTCTTCAGTGTCAGTTGCTCCGCAGCTGCCTGTCCAGGTTTTGCTACAGAATTAATGGTATTTAAGACATCTGGCATAAGAATCTTCTGGTTCATGTAGTTTGGCAGAGATGTGTTCGTACTTTGATCATCTTCAGTCTGGATATCTTTTTGAATACTATTACTAAGTTCTGAAGTTTGTTTTTGCAGGTCTTTAGATGCATCTTTTAAATTAACTTGTAATGAAGTTCCATCTGGCATTTGTAATGTTTTAGTTTCCAATCCTTTTTGTGCTGGATCTGAAAGGGACATGATAGTTTTTGAAACACCTGTAGTTAAGATCTTTTCATAGTTTATCGAATCTTCTAAAGGTGCTATTGCAGGTTTCAAGTTTTGGTTTATAGTGTTCGTTGGATGGATGTCTTTGGCATGGACATCCTCAGTGTGTTGTGGTGTGACTTCAATGGTATGCTCTGAGACATTGTTTATCTCACAGCCATCATTGGAGGGTTGAGGTCCATCCTTACAGGATTTCGTTTCAATGCTTCCAAAAGTGCTTTGACTGCTTGCAATTCGGTTATCTTTCTCTGCATTCCCACTGAGAATTTCAGGGTTAGTTGTTGCAACTTTTTTGACTTTAAAAATTGATTGAATGTTTGAAATACTTTTGTTACCAATTCGTAAAATTGGGACATTTTTATTAGTTAATTGTTGAACACTGTTTAATCCTGATTGTTGAATGTTCTGAGTCAGATCCTGATCATTGTTTGTATTTTTAGCATCAGTAGGTTTATTATTTTTGTTGCCAGAGGTAATGTCCTTTTCTAAAATATCAGTTAATGAGCTGTTTATCATCTTTATTTTCTTGTTTGAAGAAATGTTTTTTCCTTTCCTAGGCATTTTTCCAGCTCTCAAGTTTACTGTCAATTGCAATAATCTACAAATAAAATTTTTTAAATACATTAAAGTTTGTAACATATTGCATACCGGTACAGATAACATTGGAAGGCACAAAGCTTTTCGGGCCTTTGAACCCAATACCTAAATAATTTTATAGAGAGTAACAGTTAAACATATGAGGCAAGAGCTAAATATGCCTATTGCAGGTCTTTCTGTAGGCCTGAAATGTTATACAAACTATTAATTAGACATTTATTAACATGACAAGACCATAATCCACTCTCGATGCCATCTGATGGGTTCGATTTTTATTAGATTTGAATCCGATTTGCTGTTCAACTGTTGTTGATGATTAACCGTAAAAATGGATAATCAAGACTTTTATCATAACAACAGTAACAATGACAATCGAGGCTAGAGTGTTATTAAAATGAGTATTTTCTGGCTTAAAGTGGAGTAATTTGACTGAAATTATTTTCAGCATATTCCTGTTACATTATCTATTTTTTAAATATTAAATTAACAAGAACTGTCAGCTCTTTATCTAATCTTACATAATGCTGCTTAGTCAATAAGTGTGCCACTTAATTACTGCATCAAAACATTGAGATCACCAAAGTTTTTTTAGCCTTTATAAACAATAACCTTAATATTACCGAGATGTGGATTAACATCCACACAGAGCCTCGTCTAAGGATTTGGTCGTGTGCAGCAATGTCGGTAGACTCGAAGTCGGCCCGTGAGCACCGTAGTTGCGAGCCGTGCGAACACCACAGGTGAGAGTTCGCGCTGGGGGTCTGTGGGGCCCTCCCCCAGAAAATTTTGAAAATTGACTCCCTCTAAGCACTTAAAAAATAGTTTCGGAGATTTGATATATACACTATTAGTTTTGGCATCTTGTTAAACCATAGATTAATTAATACCCTGTAAAATCGAGATCAAAACACTGCTGCGGCTGACCAGCTGACAGAAATATACCCAGAAAGACGATTTTGTAAACCTTTGCACCATGATATAGTATTGGCACATGGGAAAAACCTTGTCAGCGATTTTCGACACGTATGTATGTTGCCGCCCAGTCTTCAACTTTTGGGCTCAGTAGGTGGCATAGTTTGGCCAGTGCGCGGCGGCACCGCCGTCTAGTCACCATGTTAAACGATGCTCTGTCACAAACACGTCAATTTGGGTATGACATATTTTGATAATATCTTCAATACAATAAGGCGCTTTATGAATGCTGGGGTCGTTATAGTTCAGCTCTAAAGGTAATGCTTGTTATACTCGCCCTGTACGAGACTTATGCTCAGAGAGAGAGAGCTGGACTAGGGTCGTTAGGGAGACAGGTCTACCGAGGAGACTAAATCTATTTGTTAAGGCCAGTTCAATTTTGTCTGTGTCGCTCTGAAATAAAAAAGGTTAGGGCAAATGATTGTTGGAGAGATTGTAGGTTAGGAAGTATTGGGGCTAGGCCCAGGGTTAGGATTTGCACTAGCCCTGTTTACACCTCATGACCTATGATGAAAAGAAAATTGAGCTAGCCTTATCATTTAGCACTAACCCTACCACCAGTACCACGGTAGATCTACCGACTAACCGAGGATGGCTACGCCGTAGTACGCCTTGGCGATTATTATCATATTCTAGTACTGTCTTGTATTTATTTTTTAGGGTTATAGTTTGTACCATTCTGTGTAGTTTGGTCTCAGTAGGCACTTTAATATCAATATGTAATACAATTTATTTTATCCGAATTATCGATCTAGGTCTCAGCAGGCTTTTAACGCATGCGCTAAGGAACAGCTTGAGCAATCTATTTACAGATTGTTGGCTGCACACCTAACAAATTCAAGTATAAAGGATGCTTTTAAAAAGATGGGTGAATTTCCAACTAGCACAAAGTTTAACTAGTACCTATTTTCAACCCATAGCCATGACATTTAATATTTTACAGTCAAGAAATTTTATAGAATCATTGAAAAATTACCAAGCGCAGCTCTGAGATCTTCTTTTTATAACACCATTGTGCGTCACACTGATTGGGTTTAACAAAATTTTAAACCCCACGTCAACAACTGGAACGAAATCAATGTTGCCGTTACTGAATGATACGAGAGCATCGCTATCGCTGCAATATACGTCCACATTCCTGCTTTGATTCATATGGTACTTTTTAAAATAAAAGGCTAGGCGTTGGATTTGTTTTGCCAAATTTACAGACCTAATTTAACAAAACGTCAGTGTGACACAGCCCCTGGGGGTCGAGACATGCACCAAAATAAATGGTTGCTATTCTTACGGTATAAGGAATAAATATGTTCCAAGATGATCCATTCATATTCAGAATTCCAGCCTATAGACAAAAAACGCTAAAATTGGGCGTGGCTCTGCCCCTGGGAGTTGAATATGGACCAATATAAATGGACACAACCCTATGATGGATCATACTGAATTGGATCCAAATATGTTAATAATTGCAACCTGTAGATTATTTACAGACCAAATATGAACAGAACGTGGGTGTGGCACCGCCCGGTGGGGGTGGGGGCATGTACCATGTAACAAAATCAATAGTAACCGTCCTTGGGCCAAGCGGGCGGACCATGTACCAAAATCAATAGTTGCCGTACTTGGGGTATAAGGAATAAGTAGGCTATACTAAATTCCAAGATAATCCATTCACAACTGTGACCTTTAGACGCTAAACACAAAAACTGGGCATGGCCGCCTTTAGACTATAAGGAATACATATGCCAAATTTGAAGTTGAGTCATTCATAATTGTGGCCAGTATACGATAAACACAAAAATTGGGCGTGGCTCTGTCCCTAGGAATCGGGGCATGCACTAAAATCAGTAGTTGCTATCTTTAGGCTATAAGGAATAGTTATATCAAGTTCCAAGACGAATTGTGGCCGTAGGCAACACGCACACACACACACACACACACACAAAGGAAAATGGGTGTGGCTCAGCAAAAACAATAGGTTCATCCTTAAGGTATAAGGAATAGGTATACAAAGTTTCAAAAGGATCAGTAAGGAATTGCGGCCTATAGACGACAAAAGACACACACAAAAATTGGGCGTGGCTCTGTCCCAGGGGGTCGGGTATCCACCAAACAAAATAAAGTCATCCTTGGGGTATAAGGAATAAGTATACCAAGTTTGAAGAAAATCCAGTAAGAATTGCGCCCTGTAGGCGACACAAAGACACACGAAAAGAAAATGGGAAATGGGCGTGGCTCTGCCCCTGGGGGTTGGGCATGTACCCCAAACGATAGGGATGTTCCTTAGGGTACAAAGAATGTGTATGCAAGATTATAAGTTAAGAAATGTGGCCTGTAGACGACAAACAAACAAATACTAGAAATGGGCGTGGCTCTGCCCCTGGGGGTCGGGCATGCACCAAAAACAATAGGGATCTTCCTTGGGGTATAAGGAATAAGTATACCAAGTTTGAAGAAAATCCAGTAAGAATTGCGCCCTGTAGGCGACACAAAGACACACGAAAAGAAAATGGGCGTGGCTCTGCCCCTGGGGGTTGGGCATGCACCCCAAACGATAGGGATGTTCCTTAGGGTACAAAAAATGTGTATGCAAAGTTTCAAGATTATTAGTTAAGAAATGTGGCCTGTAGACGACAAACAAACAAATACTAGAAATGGGCGTGGCTCTGCCCCGGGGGGTCGGGCATGCACCAAAAACAATAGGGATCTTCCTTGGGGTATAAGGAATAAGTATACCAAGTTTGAAGAAAATCCATGAAGAATTGCGCCCTGTAGGCGAACCACAGACACACACACACACACACACACACACACACACACACATACATACATACACACACACACACACACAGACAGGGGCGACGGCATAATACGTTCACATTATGAATGTGGACGTATAAAAATGAACGAGAAGGAGAAGAATAATTAAAAAAGAAAGAAGATTTTCACATACGGACCCATGTGATAACAACCGAGAATTTGTTGATCTCGCCTGGAAAAACTTCGTACTCCAAGACCGAGCGGAATCAGGGGGGAGGGTTAATTAATAGCCGAGTGGTTATGTGCGTGCGTCTGTATCATTGTCATTATTATTATATCAGAAACTTTAAAGTCTGTCATTGATGCCATTGATGGCGTGGTTTCGAATCCCCGGTTTTAGGTGACAAGGGGTAGGGTCGCCTGTCCAACCCCGTGGGTTTTCTCCGGGTCCTCAGGTTTCCTCCCAAGCGAATTATTGAAATAAAATTGAACCATGTGTTGATCCCCATTTCTCTCTCCCCCGAGGGGAATCTTTCAGCCGTATTCCAGGGTCAGATCACAATATTAAGGCCATTTGCAGATTTCGTTAAGGAAGGTCACGAGATGTAAACAGTAGGGCACCTGGATGTTGCCGAGGATTGTGGGCAGGGGCGTAAATGCCAAAATAGAAAAAAATATCCCAAATTTTATGTATTTGCGTGAATCCGTGCACCTAAATGACATACGTCACGTTACTCACCCAAAACTTTAGTATAAAAAAAACCTTGTCAACTTATGTTTGAAAAAATGTTTTTACCCCGGGGAGAAAAATAGTCGGTCTCAAAATCAGCGCAAAACCTTTCCCCATATCCCAAAGTCCATAAATGGCATTTCAGAGACCAAGTAAGACAAAGTCCCCTCAAGCCCAGTCCCAAAAAACTAAAAGCCCAGTTCCATAATCTATTGTTTTCGCGTCTCCGCGCTCAATTCTATGGTGTCATTATTCCTCAACTGCTCAGTCTTATACAATCTCATCACTATCATATTCACAGTTACAGTGAATCGCCCAGTTAGCAGTACCACTAGTGAGTGGGGCGACAGACTGTAGAATTGTTATTTCTACTCTCACAAAACAGGCGAAATTGACGTAGGGGCCTCAAAATTCTGTCCCATTTCTTATCCTATCGTTAAAGAATTTGATCCCATTTGTCATGCCATTGACTATAATTTTTCAGGCCCAGTCCCCCAAAATTAAAAGGTCAGTTACATATTTGTAATTTTTTCGCGCCTGCGTCAATAGATTCCATTATGGCATCATTTTCCACTCCTCTGTGGACTTATATACTGCCCCAGCACTGTCATATTCACGGTTATAGTGAACTGTCCAGTAGTACCGCTAGTGCGTGGGTCGTGGGTCGTCAGACTGTACATATGTTCTGACAACTCTGGCAAATCAGGCGGAATTGACCGGGGCAGATTTCGAGATTCTGTCCCATTGACTCCTATTTCTGGTTCTCTTGTTCACAAGAATTTGCTCCTAGCAATGACCTCAAGTGCCAGGATATTGGTTCAATTTTTAAAATATTCTCAGGTTGCTCAGTGTTATAGCCACTGCCCCTAATGTTCACATAAATTTAATTACAAAATCAATAACAATCATCATTTATGTCAACTTGAATAAAGCTGCTTTCCGACGAGATAACGATCGGCGAATACTATTGGCAATACGATCTATGTTCTACCGGGACGCCCAGTGTTATAGCCAGTATTTTCTTGACATTCAGTGTGGGTGGGATTTGCAACCGCCCCACCCCACCCCTATTCCCAGATTCCAGATCAGCTACTGGCCCCTAGAAAACTATCATCATGGTGCTCAGCCCCTGACTGCGTAATATTAGGGACATGTGCTTCAGTCGGTCGCATGTTTGCTAAACACCCCCCACGAAATCTTTATGCATGCCCCTGATTGTGGGTTAGGGTTAAGGCTAGGTATTGGGGCGTGGTTAGGGTTAGCGCTATTTACAACTCGTCATCTTAACGAAATCTGCAGGTGGCCTTAATATTGAGATCTAACCCGTATTCCACCACAGCACCCGGATTCGAAATAAAGTTAGCAAACATATTCTTAGCGCCATTAGATTATACTCTTCAAAAAAAGTAGGGGATATTGAAATGCAAATACATATGCAGGTTGTGATATGATGAATAGTCATGGACACTTGACATGCTTTGAGAGTATGTTCACGGATGAAGAACTTATCGCCCCAACAGAACCACTGAGTTGAATGTGCGACACACAATAGCGCCGTACACGTGGGAGGGGTTCATTGTCAAATTTGACACTTCAAGGAAGGGTTGATGAAAACTGCCGCTTGATGGTTTATCCTATCCATGTTTGCTTTCCTATCGATTCTTGCATAAGATTTACTGTTTAGCGTATCTTTGCTTTAGTGTGTTACGTTTAATTTGATCGGGAGATGACGCCGTCAGATAAGCCGCCCATATGAACTATTTATGTTCATGTGTAGGCAATTGGCCTATTATATTAAAGATACATTAGTTAAGAGTTTTATAAAGAGTTGACCATTCTTTCTATAATAATTCAAAAATAGATGATAAAAAAAGAAAATGTTGAAAATTTCAGTCAAATTACTTTGTTCTGAACGGAATTGTCACTGTTAGAAGTTTGGACTAGAAATAGGCATCAATTGTGTCTTCACCGTCTATGAGAATTGGCGATCATTTGATTGACAAACAATAACTCCACCCACATATTCTCGATTATCAAGTAACATGCTCATTGCTCAATGGCTATGGTAGCCTCGCTTGGCAGGCTTTTCATCACCAGTTTCCGATTTTGACATCTGCGAGTAACGGTAAACGTTAGCTTGGTCCGCCATTTATTGATTTAATTTTAAATGGACGAGGCTGTTTAAATCCAAACTGTATCCAAGCCATCCATGGGTCTACAGAGTTGATTTTAAGCTTGTCGTGTAAATAAAGGGCTAATTAATAATTTCTATAACATCTGAAGCCTAAATAAAGACTTGCAATAGGCAGATTTAGCTCTTGCATAAAGTATGTTTAACATACACTGGTTACCTCTAATAAAACAGCAGTGCATTTACGCAGTTTTGTATTGTTTCTGAATATCCCCTACATTTTTTGAAGAGTATATATATATATATATATATATATCACGAAAATAATTGTTACCTCTATATTAAAAAATAACATTTTAAGTCATATTAAAAGAGCTAACTCGCTAATATTTGGGACCTAGAAA